TATTAAAACGACCTAAAAGGATATCGATATTTAGTAATTTAAAATACATATGAAACAATGACTAAAAATATACCTTAGCCATCAAATATATTTCATCATCTGCCTTTCTTATGAATTGATTTACTTCTTCTCGAGTTAATACCTTGGATTTCTTAGGGTTGTGTCCAACTGACAATTTTTTCAAATATGCAACCAACTTGGTAAATTTTTTAATATCTACGTTTTCCTTAGCATTAAGTGTTGATTTTAGCTTGGATCTTTCTGCAAAATATGCTAACAGCACATTTTCGGATGCTTTTCTTGCTTTATTTGTTTAACACTATTTTCTATAATAAATTAGGCATTTTGCTTATTTATAATATTTTTAAGAGATAGATTTTGACGTTTGTAGAAAAAATATTGTTTGCATCTCGTGCGTGAACTACTTTGGTGGTCTCGAATAATTTTTTAACTCGGCTTCGCCTCGTTAAAAAATTCTCAAAATTGTTATCCTATTAGTACCGTCAGCAAATTGGTTTAACATAAATATAAAAATAGCCCTGAATAGCACTATACTAATGTTAATGATGGATCTAGCGGTGATTTAAAAAATGATAGAAACGACTTAGGAAGTTTTCCATTAAAAAAGTCATCCCAGAATATATTGCATTTGGTAAGTATCTGTTTAAAAACAGTTTGTATAACAAGAGCATGTCATATTTTGTAGGTACTAGACGAAATATAAATATTTACCAATAAATAATGATTATATATAGAACCGTATATCTTAATTTATATGGTTAGTACTGTTATTATACCTAGACGTATACTCGTATTAGCTATACAGGGTGTATTTTAAGAGAAATTGAAATCTTTAGCAATTAAATTAATCGACACATTAATATAGGTTTGTTTATGTTGTTCAAATGACTCGAGAAAAAGTAAACCTACAAGAAAGTCGGAAGATATCTAGAATGCTATAATTCGAAGATGTTTTAGATGTTGTTGAAAGAGATCCAACAGCCAACCAAACATATCACATAGTAATCAGATACATCTCACACTAAAGCGTGTAGGTACAGTGCCGGCCCTTTGAAAGTGGACGACTCTTATAAGCAAATTGTCTATAATTGGCCTTTGTGAAGCTGACTTGAAAATGTGAGGTTCAAATCGGCTGTCATTATGTCAAATTTAATGTGTGTCTATCATACTAGTTCTAGTGAACAAAACAAATCTAAATTAGGTAGCAAATTATTTATTTTTCCAATACTGAAATATATTATACATTCTAACGGCCATTCATTCGCCGTCAACGAGATCTAAAAATGAAACACTTTTTGTCGTCAAAAAAACGCGATTCGTAAAGTTAGTATTTTGTCCAAGCATCATTTTTGTCTATAACTCTGCAATCTACATGGCATTGATAAAATTAATGTTCTTGTTATAATCCTCAGTGATGTTATCCCATGCGTTTTCAATTGCCTTCCAAAGTTCTTCGACGTTAACTGGACGGAAGTTTCTGCCGTAATTTTTTTTCACCATATATCCCCAGGACTTTGAGGGCCAAGGTAAAACATCGATGTTGTTATCAATGAACCATTCTGACGACAATTACCCTGCTTGAAAGTGAAATTCTGAGGATACAGCATAGTCACAACAAACAGGGCTTAGGCAGCTTATCCAAGCCCAAACGTTAATGGAGAATCCATCGCTGCGCTGTGTGGGTTTCACATAAGGCTCCGAATACCTTATAATCTGGTGGGTAGACACTGACAGAAGCATCGGAGCAAGACTGAAAACTTTTTTCGTCCGATAATATAATATTCTCCCAGATGTTGTCTGGGCTTCCTACAAATTGTCTTGCAAACTCTAACCTCTGTTCTTTATACTGGGGAGTCAAAGCAACTATATTTGCGGCCACATAATTCTTCAGCTCCGAATTTTTCACCCGCTTCCTTGCAGTTCGCGCTAATCCAGGAAAATTCGTCTCAAAGGAAGCCGCTACTGCCATGTCAAAAGGATTTATTCTTAGGTGGTGCTTACTTTTCGACATCCACCTCCGTGAACATAACGTACGTGACCTTCCGCAATCCATTTTTCTTTGAGTTTAAATATTCTATATTATATATTTTTATATTCTGAAGTAAAGTTATAGCTCTCACTTTCTCTGGTTCCGTTAAACGCGGCATCTTGAATTACCAAGCAAATTACTAATGACACTGACATATAAAAACTTGTCATAATAAAAAGTAGACGACATCACATTAGAAAAATAAATCGTCCACTTTCAAAGTGTACTACTTACGAGGTAATCAAATTTATCCATATAAATTAGTCTAAATATCCCAAGATCATTTTTAAACAATACGTTTTTGGGAAATATTTTTCAAATTTGTTCTAGTATCGGATGCAGCAACAGGCAGCACAATAAAAGTTAAGATGTGTTTAATAGTTTGAACTAGTATTATTAACGGTTATTTATTTATTGACTTGTTTATACTACTAGACCAAATGGATAGTTGAGAATTTTCCTGAAGTACTTGAAGATGTGCCCTTAGGTATACAAACAATCTATGTGGTTTTCACCATAGGGTTTTCACAGACGCTCGCTTCTAACAGCATGCATTGTAAATCATGGATACGTCGAGCGATTGTTTGTATCAAGGATTGAATCTTCATTAATCAGATCTGGGCTTGTAAATTTTAAATCACAAAATGAATCTCAATTTAAAAAACACTCTGGATATTGAAACATACAGAGATAAAATTTAGAGTATCCCAAATTTGGAATATCAGCACTTGTATTTTAGTTACTATATAGATGATGCGGAATTTTACATCTGTTACATATTCGGTCTTCATTCTTGTTTCGATCCAATAAAGCATAATATTGATTCAGAAATTTAATAGAGAATGGCACCAAACTCTAGGAATAGATTCTACACGTCAAAATAATAAGAAAAAACTCAAACGTTATGCGATTTCCATTTGTTTTCAAGGTATGACGTACATTTCAATAAAAAAAATATTTTATTAATATTCTATTAATCATAGCGTCTTTTGGTTAAATGTTCAGAAACACCACCTCTAAACACTTCCTGCTTCATCTACGAAGAAAGTTTTCTAAAAAAAATATTTTATAAGCAGAATAATTATAAAAAGTTATTAATTTTGTATAAATATGTTTGTTGTACGTAAGTGAATTAAATTAATGAAAAATATGAATTAAAGGAAATTTTACTTTTAGAAGGAACAAAGAAAAATTTTAATTCATCGAATTGATAACCATTATCTTGAATACAGCATCTTAATCTATCTTCAAATGATATTCTCACATTCTTTAGAATATCTGGGGTAATTGTGGAGTACACCTCCAATCCTTTCCTTCGTATAATCGCAATTCGTAGGTGGAACACTATGTACAAGATTTTTTATATAGCCCGAAACAAGTCCATTACGGTGAGGTCTGGATACCTAGGGGGCCACTGACATGCACCATTTTTATTTATCCATTTATTACTAAATTTCGGATTTAAATAATTTTTCATTGAATATGAAAAAATTTAAAGGTGCCCCATTTAATTGCATCCTCATTTTTCTTTTTATATTTAAAGAGAGGTCATCAAGAAGAACCCAAACCAATTCAATAAAGACCTCGATGAAGACACGTGGATACATCTTACAAAAAAATCGATACAAAATGAAACGGCGCAAATATCTCCAATACTGTTAGAGAAGTAAAAATATGCTGGGTGTCCCATTTAAAATAACCAAGTTATTGCTGTTTAATTTGAGAGAAGTATTCAGTAGTTTTTTGAGCACCCTGTACAATACTAAGTGAAGACAAATATAATAATTTATAACTTAAAGGATCTAAAATACACTCTCCAAAGCTGCTTCCTTAAAATTATTTTTTTACTGCTAAAATTGAAATATCTCACAAACAATAAGTCCTGGGTATGCAGAACCTTTAATAAAGTTCACCTATTTTTTTACGGTGCTTTCAAAAATGCAGTAAAATACAGGGTGTTCCATTTAAAAATACATAACTTTGATATGATACGCTTTTCCTGGACACCCTGTATGTTTCAAAATATTTTTAAAGCGTAGCCGTAATCAATCTACACGTACCCACCTAAACACGTTTCTATAACATTTGCCGTTTGGTGTCTAGCGACCGAGGCGTTACTGGTGGCCCACCCTGTATAGCATACTCTAAATTTGAATAAGTTCTTGATGTTTTATAACAATTTGATCGTACAACCGTGTAATCAAATGTTAAACTACTGCAATATAAAATGACACTGAAAAATAAGCTACTTTTGAATTTGGAACTTTACATGATTTCAAATTTTTAAAATTTGTAATTACGCTACAAAAAAAATGAAAATCGCATAACAACATTTGAGTTTTTTCTTATTATTTTGACGTGTAGAATCAATCCACTCCTGGAGTTTGGTGCAAATTTCCCGACTCGCCCTGTAGATATGTATCTGCAATCTTTATGATTGTGGTAGAGAAGTAAATTATCATATTATTCAGATTACTTTGCATTATGTTATTTTTTGTATCATATATTTTTATATTGCTTGACTGAAAATATTTGCGAGAATTAATTATAATACCACCGACTGGGGCAACTGTTCAAATTTTTCTTGGATACGTGGTCCTTCGTGATTATAAGAATTTCTATTTGCAGGACATTTATATTTGACAGATTAATCCTGACCAAATATTAATTAATCAAAATATTTAAGTTTATACCTAACGAGGTTTAGTTTCTAAGTTCCATATTTACTAATTTTATTATATTTAAACAAGGACCTGACACGAAATTTATTAGGAAAATGTATTTCTGCGCGACATTCTGCAATCATCGAATGTACATGGCTTTATCTTTGCTCAGATTAGTAAGATTAATTCAGTGGCTAAGACGAAAATGAGAAAATTATCAGATTCCCGTACATATAAATACAAGATCGAAGTGAAATAATTGATAGCTACCGTCGCAATGGGCAAGATGGAAGAGACCCATTTGCCTATGCTGAAGAATGGCCAAATCGAAGAAAACGTTCTCCCTATAGTAAGGGCGTTAAAAAAGAGATGGTTCATTTTGATTATGTACATTATATACGCTACCATCAGCACTTTTCAGTGGGTTGAATATTCAATAATTACCAATATAGTGATGCGGTATTACAATGTTAGTGCTAGTGCCGTGGAATGGACTGCAGTGGTGTTCATGGTCATGTGGCCCATACTGGTGTTCCCAGCTTCATTTGTTATCGACAAAATGGTATTTGTTGTTATAGTAAAGATGAAAAATATCGGGAACATTTTTCGCAATACGACATTATATATTATTATATGTATAAGACTTATAGCTCTTTTTACCGGTTAAATACTAATGATTTTTAAAAGTATTTGCAAAATAGGTTTATTTTTAGGATTAGCGCTAACGACACGTATATCGGCGACAGAAATAGTAGCTAGATGAAGTTAAAAATAATTTTAATTTTCTGTTAAAAGTTGGTTTATCTACTATTTGCTTTTAAAACAACAGCTACAGGCAATTTTTTTATATCACAATATTTTAAAAAGTTCGCTTTGACATTTAAAAATACTGCCAGAATTGTTTTAAAAAAATCTAGTTTTTTAAAGGGGCGCGGATGAATTTGTAATTTTTGGGAAATACTCAAATCCCTAAATAAAGCAACCACTTTATTTTTAGGATTGGTGCAAAATATTAAATTTTTAGTTTATAAAATCAAATTCCAATTATTTTACCACATTTTAGTATATACAGAGTGTCCCGTTCATGTTTCAAAAAAAACTTGTGTGCAAGTTCCCCATGGGAAAATAATATGGGTAGTTCATGTGTGTTGAAGTTGTTACTGTTAATTCTCTTTAAATCGGCTAAAGATAAAAATATCAAAATTTGTACACGAGTAAACATCAACTGTGCGTTAAGAATAATGTGCAAACGGTTTCTATCTGAAAAGCAGTGTCGCCGATATGGGGTATAATCGAAGAGAAAATATATTAAAAGTCAAAATTTATTACATTTCTAAACGGTTCTGTAACCTCTAAAGGACACTACAAAAAAAAAGGTATATCTACTTGTCGAAATTCGGTAGCATGTACCATTTTCGAGAAAAATACATTTTTTTTGCTCACATAAAGCGACACAAGTAGATTAACAAAATATTAAATTGAAAGAGGACCTTACCATTTTGTGAGCTAAAGACATTTAGCTAGTAACAATATTTGCATTTAAGACTATAATTTTAATTTCTTACGTATCACATGAAACAGTTAAATTGTAAAATATTTTATTAACTAAAAAAAAAAAAATTAAAATTTAAGTTTCAGTTTGTTGTAAACCAACATTTAAAAAAGTAAATCAAAATAAACAGATTATGGTAATTAATTATCTATTATTAACTAATTTTAGATTTTGTAAACTACTACACTACCATTACCAAAATAAACAATTGTTGAATGGACTGAATTGTTGATGGACATGAATGCTTAGAAACAGAAAAATATTAGGAAACAAACGCGAAGACATACAGAACAAAACAGCTGCACAATTAAATAAATATGCAAACTCGAAATACTACAGTAGATACTGAAATTGTCTCCCATTTCCTTCTGTGCAACTTCATTTTTCTCGAAAATGGTACATGCTACCGAATTTCGACAAGTATACCTTTTTTTTTGTAGCATACTTTGGAGTTTACAGAACCGTTTAGAAATGTAATAAATTTTGACTTTTAACATATTTTTTCTTCGATTGTACCTCTCCAATTACATGTATCGGAGACACTGCTTTTCAAAAACAAACTATGTCTATGTTTACTTATATACAAATTTTGACTTTTTTATCTTTATCTTATCGATTTAAAGATAATTATGGAAAACCATTTGGAAAGTAACAACTTCAACACACTGTATCTCGAAAATAGGGCGTCTAAGAAAAAAACTTTTTTCCATGAGGAACATGCACACACGTTTTTTTGAAACATGAACGGGACACCCTGTATATTTACAACTACTTTTTATACTTAAATTTAAAATATTTTCTTGCAAATTTAACGTACTTCTTTTAGTTTCTAAGAAACACCAGTAGAAACGTTAAGTAGATCACTCTATATATGAAAAACTTTTTGCAATTATAATGAATGAGACTGTAACTGATTGAAAATTAACACTTCAATTTTCAATTAGATAAAAGTATAATGACTGATTTATCTGATTATTCTTGGTATCTGGAAGTGAATCTTCTATACATGATGAAAGTAATTCTTAGCTAAGGTACCTATATTCTGTATTATTAATCATCTGAAATAACTATCTACAGACTTTTTTACTTAGCAAAGCAAAATATTTTATTAAAATATTGGATTTTACACCCACAATTCTTAATTCTTTTTATTTTACACTATTGACATTTAGATTGTGTGAAATATATTCAGAAACGTTAATCTCGCAACAGCTAAATCCGTAGATTAATTTTTTCGCGGATGGACTATACAATCAAAACAAAACAATTTTTATCTGACTGATCGGGGATTTTTTACAAAGCTTTCCCATCTTTTCTGGTACAATCTATTTTTTTAATTTTGTCGATTCCAGATCAATAAACAAAGCAGAGCTAATTATCATACAGACAGATTATTAAAAAGATTAACTTCATTGAAGCATGCAAGAAATTTATATTTTAATAAAACTACTGAGTATCAAAATTAATACACGTTAGAAACAGGCCTTAATTTCCATGATGATATTTCTCGCGAACAGCTAGTCTGACTTTTGACGAGCCTTCTATTTAATTGTAGATTTATTTCATAGTTACCATTATAAGATAGTTTTACTGATACTTCAGTTTTTGGAATATACAGGGTGAAAGAGCGCGCGTCAGCTATAATAATAAATGTCTACTTGAATCGAACTTGTGGTTCCATATTTTCTGATGAATTTGTTGTGTGATTCACGTTATTTCTGTTATTAATGGAGTTGCGCATTGGCAGTGATATTACCAGATTAAATTCAATTTTTTAATTTTAAAAATAACCGGTGCTATTTAATCTAAGTTTGTGTCACAATTAATAGCAGATATAATGACTTGAATCAAAAAACAAATTGTTGAGAAAAGACAGGACTACAGATTTATTCAAGTAGACATCCTCTACTGTAGCCGGCTGAAAGCTATGTCGATCCTGCTCCAGTCGCCATCTTGAATTGTGGAGCAGAATCGGCACAGCTATTCTACTCACACCTTACAGAGTGTTTCACATTTCGGGGAAGAGTCTTATTTTGCATCCTGCTATGTGGTTGGGCGACTAACATTGTAGGGCTGGTATTGTCAACTAAAAATCCGTAGATCTTGGCGTCACCAATATTAATGATTCGTTTCTCGTGAAAAATTGCTCCAATCACCAGGCGGTGAGAAACAAATTTTTTACATATTTAAAACCAAAAGTCAATTATTTCTATGAAAAAAGTGACCAGTACTCTATTTGCGTGCTCAGAAAAGGTGGACGTATAAAATATTGTCTTAAAATTAACTGTTATTGCGTAAATTGTGCCTAGAATATTATTGAATGTTACAATATCAACATTACACTTAAGTACTGCATTTTATAGTATTTAATAGAACTGTTACATTCAATTCTACCGTATTTTATTTAATTAATTGTATTAATTGAAAATATCGAAAGCATAATTCCAAAAGAAAATGTGAATAGTCAATAAATATGTATTTTTCGAGGTCTGGCGATGACTTTTACAGACTTTTGCTTACACCATTAAAAAAGCATTCCTGTAGCTGCTTTCTAAGTGCCACAATCCATTTGATAATTAAGAATTTTGTGAAGCTGAGCGCAGCAAGGGCACTATGACGTCACAGCGCTCCCCTTTCCTGGCTACCGCTTAGTCGCCCGGGCAGCCGCGTGGATTTCGCTGCCTTTAACGAATGTTTACTTGGTCATTTCTTGGTCGAATCGTTTCAGAAAAAAATCAGCGTATAAAGGAAGTCTTTTACTTTACAACGAGCCCAAGTTTATTACAAAATATTAAATTGAATAGGCAGGCATACCGTTTTTAAGAAAAAAAATTTCTCGGCTCCTATTGGTCGGATCGAGACGATTTTTTTTTAAATGTATGTTTTTTTAACCCTAGTTACGTTTTTTTCTGGTTTTTTGTTAATAACTTTTTTATTTTGCATCTTAAAAATCTGAAATTTACACATACGCCTGATAATGTAATTACCTTTCTATCTTTTTTCCCCGAATTTCGATATCTTGATCTCTTTTTATTTAATACTGAAAATTTTGCACATTTTTTTTTTCACCGCGAATTTTTAAATGTAAAAAAAATTGAGTATCCTTGTAGCAAAATTCCTCAGGAACAAAATTGATAAGTATACCTCATGTCGATTAGAGGCTTATTTTCGGAGATATAAGAGAAAAACTGAAAAAGAAGTAATTATTATTTTTTTCTTTTGTTATAAACAATATGACGCTCGACCTCTACAAATACACAAATTTAGGCTTTTAATCTGTGAATTTTTTACTTAATTTTAAGCCCATAAAATTCGACGTGTCCTCGATTTTTGAAAAAAAATCTAATTCGCCCGGACTATTATTAAAGTTTTAAATTTATATTCTACTTACTACTTATATAATGTTTTTTTTAAATAATACCACGATTTTTAGGATTTATAGTATTCATGATAAGAAATGTAATCGTTATATTATTAATAGGAAACTTTTTAAAGCTTAAGTATAGGTATTAACGATTTTCTTATCTAGATGAATCTCATAGTTGACGTCGTTGATTTTCTTTTTTTATGTTTGAAAAATATATTTGAATTTGTCACGAAAGTGTGTGCTTAAGGATTTGAAATAGTACTCATGTGTCTAAAGCATTTGTAAACAATGACTTATAAATCGTTTTTTAATTCCTTATATCTGTTATTTTTAAACACGAAATTGGAAAGGAATTTTTAATTTTTCTTTCATTCCTATTTATAGGTATACCTATTAATACTAATTCGCAGAATAGATCAAATATTTTTATTGGAATTTTTAAGTTTAAATAGTATTGTGGAAATTAAAATATAAAATTATGTCCCTTTGCAGGGGTTAAGGGTAGCAGCGCTGATAGGATGTCTAGCAACTGCCATAGGCGCTGGAGTCAAGGTTTTTTCTGTTGGGCAAAATTTATTTTACGTCGTTATGATTGGCCAAACGGTTATTGCAGTATCACAAATTTTTATTCTCAGCTTGCCTCCAAAAATAGCTGTCACTTGGTTCAAGGCAAATGAGGTGAGTAATTAATAATACTAGATTTTATAAATAATGGAAACATTAGTAAAGTTTTATGCAATAACTCGTAGGTGTCTACAGTTTGCTCTTTGGGAATTTTTGGGATGCAATTCGGTAGTGCTCTGGGATTTCTGCTTCCTCCAATGATTGTTAGAAATCACGAAAATGTTGACGACATTGGCACAGACTTGTACAAGATGTGTTGGGGTTTGACAGCTGTTATAACTCCAGTGGCTTTCCTAGTCTTTTTCTGTAAGTTGCAAAGAAATAACGTGATGAACAACGTCAGGTTTCATTTTGGATTTTAGTTTTCCAAGAGAGGCCCAAATATTCTCCAAGTCAAACTCAGATTGAGAAAAGGGACAATAAAGAGGAAGTTACGTTGTCAGTATTTTTTTCCTCACTCAGAACTTTGATAAAAAATAAATCTTTCCTCATCCACACGACATCGTACGGTTTCTGTTATGGAGTATTTTCCGCCGTTGGGACTTTACTTAATCAATTCATCCTGAACTATTTTGAGGTACCGTAAAATATATCGATTACTAGTTTAAAAACACTTTTGTATGTATTATAATTTTTTTAGGGAGCCGAAAAGGATGCTGGAAGGATGGGTCTAGTAATGATAATAATAGGAATAGCGGGATCTATCCTGACAGGATTTATTTTGGATAAAACTCACAAATTTAAGTAAGCTAATTGTATTCATTTGCCTAGCCACCATATATTTAATGTTTGAGTTAACTATTTTCTTTATTTCAGGGAAAGTTGCTTCGTTATATTTTTACTGTGCGCCATCAGTTCTGGAGGTCTGTTATTTTCACTTGAACTGAGATCAAAATGGCTGGTTTATCTGGCTATAAGTGTTTTTGGGTAAGTACAGTGTTTCAATACAAGAATCCTTAATGCAATGAACCTATTCTTTGTCACTCAGATTTTTTCTGAATGCGTACATGCCCGCTGGGATAGAATTTGCCACAGAATTAACCTTCCCAAGTGCCGAAAGCACCGTTGCTGGTATCTTACTGGCCACCTCTCAGATTTTGGCTGTGATGTTCACTCTGACCTTGAGTGCAATCAACAAGACCTTTGGAACATTTTGGGCGTTGTCGGTTCAAACTTTTATCTTATTAGTGGGGACGATTTTAACCGGTTTTACCCCGAATATACTCAGAAGACAAGAGGCGTTCAAGAAGAACGTGCAGTTTGAAAAAGTGCCACAGGACAGGCAATAGAAGGATAAAGTATAGTGTATGTAATGGTTTGTAAATATTTACTAAGACTGTAGGTGTGTGTAACTTCTATGATTTTATACAATTTAAGATAACTTTCCGATGGTTTATTACTACGTTCTCAGGAAAATAAACATTTAAATATTAATGTTATGTTAAGCAAAAATAAATTATAGCCCAATATATTATCTCTAAAAAAGTACAACTACATTGTAGTAGATAAAACGTTTCGTTAATAAAATTGTATTTTAAATGATGTTATATAATTATGTAAATATTTTTATAAACAAATTAAAAAATATGTATAATATTGTTTTAGTTTTACCATTAAGACAGTGTATATTAATATAAAATTAACGCAAAGTGGAAATTAATTAGAAATTATATTGATCTTTTGCCCAGAGGTGTTGTTTTGTAACATTTTTGTGATATACCGGAGTTTTTATAGAAAGCAACCTCAATGCAAAGATCTACACATGTTTATGATAACTTTAATTACAAACAATATTAGATGGCCCAATTTTGTTCAGGTTTTGGACATGTACAATAATGAAATAACCTCATTATACAGTAAATACATTTTTTAATGACATTTTGTTGATGATTACTGATTGATTCACACAACATATCTACATATTTCTCAGATTTATGTATATCTAATATGAATTTAAGTAAATTGAAAAGTGACCAATATAATACTGACATTAAGAAAAATAAAATATATCCAAATTTCTTTTTTTTTTCATGTTTCAGCTCATTTTGATGTCGATGATAAATGGTTTAATAAAACCTTTTGTCTAGGGTTTTGAATTAAAAGCTAGATTTATGAAACTCGTCTCCTCTGCATACCCTGGCAATGCAAAAAATGCTACAACCTACAACTAGAAAATATTAATTACATCACTGAAAGGAATTGTTGCATTGAAATATAATGTATTAGGTCATTCGTTTACAAATTTGTGTATTTCATCTTCATTGAATACTTTTCATTTCTTGGTATGGTATTCTAGATTGACACTCCTTATAAGAGATTAACTAAAATCGCTGTCTTTCTCAGCTCTCAATAAAGCCTTCACTATGGAATATTCTAACTAAAGACCTAAAGACTAGACGGTTTTATATGGTTTGCTGATTTTTTGTGAACATATGAAAGAATTTTCCGTCTTTAAATATGTATATACAGGGTGATTAAAAAAATCGCTGACAGACTTCTAGTGTAAGTAATACATGAAAAATTAAGACGAAAAGTCTCAATAAACATAGGGTCGCAAATGCCTCCTTAATGAGATACAGGGCGTCAAAGTTTCCGTAAAATTAAAGCGTAAAAATTACAAAAAGCTCATAATCTAGTTTACTTAACTCAATTGTACACATTGGCATTAGTGACGGGCGATGTTTAATTTTATTTTGAATAGCACCAGCCTACTATGCGAAACTAAAATAAATGAAAATAAAATTGGATTTACAAATTTTCTACAAAGGTGTTTCTCTTAAAAATGGTTGCTTTAATTAAAATTTTGCAAGGGACCAATTCGATAGACAATTGAACACGTTACACGAAAATAGTGCCCTTTTGACAAAATTAGCAGTGGCGCAGAAAATATTTTTAAAAAAGTGTCACGTTGACCCCGTCTCTACGACACTACTGCTCATAAAATTTTGAGCAGTACATCAAACATTGGTCTTAAGGTGCTAACTACGCATAGCAAATTTGAAATAGAAATGTTCAGGCATTTTGGAATTATTGCAGACAATGTTTAATTTTACAGAAACTTTGACGCCCTGTATCTCGTTAAGGAGGCATTTGCGACTCTATGTTTATTAAAACGTTTCGTCTTAATTTTTTTATGTATTATCTACCCTAGAAGTCTGCCAGCGGTTTTTTGAATCACCCTGTATACTGGGTGGTCCAGTTCAATCAAATTTATTAATTGTTGTCAAACGGCTAAAGATATTTCAATGAAATTTTGTAGACGTTAACTAATATCGAGAGAGCACTTCAAAGTGGTCTCTGTAAAGCAATTGAGCAAATACAACAAAAAAACAAATTTATCTGTCAAATTAATTAGTAACTGTATCACATTTAGTTAGATCTATTTAGTAATTTGATTTGTAATTATTGTTATTGTTATAGTTACTATTACTGTTATCTTGAAAAATGCTTTTTAGTAACGAAGAATACGCAGATATTCATTTTTGTTGCGGATTTTGTGATGGAAATGCGGAAGCGGCAGTTCGTGAATATCGAAGACGTTATCCAAATAGAAGAATTCCAGATGGCCGTGTCTTCATTGGAACACATCAAAAGTTTCGTAACTTTGGCATGCGTGTTAATAATGGACATAACAGAAATGTGGCAATAACAATCGGAATAGTATTTTTCGTACTTTTGATGACAATCCGAGGCTCAGTTCTCGCAGGGCAGGGCAGCAACTACAAATATCTAAGTCTCAAATATTGCGGACATGAACACAGGCATGCATATCACCTACAGTCCGTTCAGGATTTATATCTTGGGGACGCTGAAATGTGAATGAGGTCTTGCCAGTGGCTTTTAAATTCGACGGAAGAAAATCCTGACTTTTTGCACAAAATTCTGTGGACGGATGAATCCTCATTCAGTAGAGTGGAATAACGAATTGCCACCATATCCACGTTTGGGTGCACGAAAATCCTCGAGAAATTTGGCCACGATAATTTCAAAATAATTTTCTGTAAATCTTTGGTTGGAAGTTTCGGATAATAATCTTTGTGATCCACATTTTCTACTCCCAAGGTTAAACTCAGAACTATTTCTTACTAATAACCTGCAGTACGGGTATATCCAGGATATACCCGTTAACTTAAGACATGAAAGTTATATAGAAGGATATAACTGGATGGAGCCCCCCCCCCCGCATTTTGGAATAGCTGTAAGAGAATGACCAAATACTAATTGATTGAGGATTGACATGAATCATGACGTGGTTAATGGTATTGGACCAGTGGCCTGGCCACCCAGGTCACCGGATCTTAATCCACTAAAATTTTACATTTGGAGAAATGTAAAAGACAAAGTTTACGCTATTCCACTGTTAACAAGAGATGATTAAGTTTTGAGGATTCAGCAAGCCTGCAATGATATGCGGCGAAATTCAAATGAAGTAGCTGCTGCAATAAATCCATTAGTTACACGATATCAAAAATGTATTACATTTCAAGCAAGCTTTAACATACATTTATACTTTATTTTGTTGTTGCTGTTGTTGTTTTTTTTATTTTTTGACTCGAAAACGCTGAGTCGTACAGAAAAATCGAAAGAGAGCTTTTTTCTTTCAAATTGAACGAAGAATCCACAACTAATTTTTATTTTATAAAAAAGCAGTGGCGTATCAATTTCTTGTTTAGAAATTTTCAGTAACGCGCTAGTACGGGACGCCACTGGCAAAACTAAAAATAATGTTTTTCATTGCAAATCGTCCTCTCTCGATGGTAGTTAACGTCTACAAAATTTCATTGAAATATATTTAGCCGTTTGACAACAATGAATAAATTTGATTTTTTGAAACCAATCTTATACACCTTGTATATCCTCAACGAAGCATTTTTCGAATATAGTTTTTATATCAAACTCATATTATTTTTTGAATCTCTATCGGTCCCTGAAGTATCGGCATCGGAAACTGGACCACCTTGTATAAATATAAATAATATGTAAATCCCAATCCGTCATAAATTAAATTTATTGAGAATTTGCAAGATTTCTAAATTATTCATATACTTTTACCGTTTCAAACGACAATTTTCGTTCATACTATAAGAAATAAAATTTATTTTTTACTAGATTATTATTAACTAATTCTATAACAGGTAATTTTAGTTACATTAGTAAACTATAAAGATATACCTAGCAGCTTTAGTTTTTGGAACGGTTAGGTATATATCATGTTAATAAGCAGTCATATTAATTTCGAGTATCTTTTTTGTAATCCATTTTTTTATCAGAAAGAAAGAAGATTCATTATACCTGTGCTTGAAAATCAATTAGAAATTTCATGAAGCATCAATTTATATTATTGCTAATTCATACAATATTGTGTACAAATAAAAAGTATTTTTTAATTCTATATGTCATGAAAAAATAATAAATGCTAATTTTTACATTTTTTTTAACAATATGAATGTTAAGCTATAAAAACTACAAAGTTTATAATATGTATGGTTATTTATTTGAACAAGCTGAGTCTTCTAACATTTTAAAACATTAGGCTTTAAAGTGGAAATAGCAAAACAAACACTGTTAATTTAGCGTTTGTCTACATAATGTCATACCACGGAACAAACTCATAACATGAAATGGAAAAGTAACCTAGAAACTAGAAAATTAATAATTCGCGTCTGCCTTACAATTCGCCAAGCTGGAGAGCAGTCTCATTATAATACGCTTAAATATGTTCAGTTTATTCTAGATGCAATGTAAAAATATTTTGCGGTCATTTTGCAATAAGACAAGTATTCGGCGTCTTGTAAAACGCCTACAACTTTCAGTCAAATTGTGAAAAAATTATATTCATATTACAATTTGCATAGTCATTTATACAACGACTAGGCATTTTCTAAAAAGACTGAATTTGCAATTAGCCTGCGACATAGGTATATATTTTTAATCTGTTTAATATACACTTTTGGTATTATAGAAAAGTTATTAAAATTATAGGCAAATAAAATTGTAAATAACAAAATTATCACTTGTATGAAATAATTTGTTAATTAAATAATATAAATACATTAACTCCTACTATATAAGTTCACCAGCACGCGTCTTAGTTATTTATATCTTGTGCCGTGATTACTGTGGTCTTTCTAACAACAATTTAATGCCTGTGCCCATTGTTCTTATATTATCTTGATTTTCTGTAAACATAGCTGCAATGTAATGAATCAGTGGTGAATTTTACGTTAATTCAGTGAGGATCAGCTTAAAAACTTAGTGGTGGTTATAAACAAGAAATTTGTTGCTTAGACATGGGAACTGTGAAAATGGTACCAGCAGAAAGCAATGATCTGATAGAAAAGCAGTCTGTACCAGTTAAGGCGTACAAGAGAAGATGGGTGATTCTGGTAATTTTTATTTTGTATTCGGCCGCTAATTCCTTCCAGTGGATGGAGTATTCTATTATAACTAGCATCGTTAAAAGGTATTATAACGTCAGTTCCCTAGCGGTAGACTGGACCTCTATCATTTATATGGCCATTTATCCAATTATTGTGGTTCCTGTGTCTTACGTGATAGACAAAAAGGTAATGTGTTTCAATGGTTCATTAAGATTATAGTTAGTGTTAAGGTCAGTACTATACGTACCGATTTAAGTTTAATTAACCAGGTGCTTACAGATATATTTCATTAGTTAATGTACTCAAAATATTAGTCTTTATTTGACACGATATGTTGTAACAGAGTTGAATAAACTAGTTGAAAATTCAAATAAACTTTAATTTTCAATCTTTCATTTCACGGACTGTAATGGTGTTAGGCACAGTATAACAAATTATAAAAAAAGCTAAACAAAATTGTTACTCGTAAATTTATTTCAACAATTTTTCGCATAGATATTGGAGACTGTTACTGGTAACGGACTGGAATTTCATTTCAATGTGGTAGACAGAATATGAATTATTAATAGTATATTAAACAACAAGATTTGAAAACGACTCTTTGCACACGAGCGAGACATATTGGTGGACCGAGCCGAAGGCGAGGTCCACAAGTCGAGGGAGTGTGCAAAGAGGTTTTCAAACGAGTTTTTTACGATACTTTTTATACGACTGCAAACAGAGACCACAAAAATCGAATTTTAATTTAAATCGTTTTTATTACTAAAATTGCCAACGCATTAACAAAATAAATTAAATACAATTTTTAATTTAACTCGTTTTTATTAAGAAAATTGCTAACGCATTAACAAAAGAAACTAATATTAAATATTTATGGTAACATTTGAACATTCCTTCAAGGTTACGCTGGGAAAAGCAGTATTATTGTGCACCTTGTTTTCGGTAATAGAGAATATTTTTGGTGTAGTGTTTCTAGTGCAGTTTTTCAGCGTGCGGTCGTTGTTTTCTTGTTGTACTCCAGTAGACGATCGTTGTTCTGGTTCTGTGGCAGCAGAAGACACTGAAGACTCTATCCTTTTCGAAACTTCCATTTTATTTCTCAAACAGTCATCAACGTAGCCTTCGGCAACTGTACTGGATTTCCATACTCCATGGCGTTTGAGGGCAAGCAGATTTGAGCCAGAATTGATTAAAATTGTGGCCGATGAACGCCGAAAACAATGTCCCGTGTAACTTTCTGGATTCTCTAGCATCAAAAACTTGGCGATTTCCCTAGTCATGTTTCCAATTTTGTTGATGCCAACGTTTTGGCCTGAACATTTTCCGTTTTGATAGTTTAAAAAAAACCTGCCTGTGTTCAGATTAGGAGGACGAAGAGCACAGTACTTTTTTAAGATAGTGTAAAGGTTTCCTGTAATTGTAAAACACCTTGGTACCTTTGTTTTTGTATTCTTCAGTTTAATCAGCATAGCACTGATGAAATCTTTGGTGTCTTCTATTTTGAGATAACATAATTCCTCCCTTCGATATGCCCCAGATAGACCAACTGCCACCACCGCCTTGATAAGTAAATATTTGTCGTCTGATGCTTTCGTCAAAAACCGGCAAAAATCATCTTCTGTGAGGATTTGGGACTTCTTTGGGATGGGACGTAGTTTTCGGATTTTCGTTTGATTAGCGCTTGCAACTTTTTATAGCTTCCAAGATCTATGTTGTGATTGGCACTTAACGTTGACTTGAGCATCGAAAAAATCGTCCACAACGTCGAAGATTTATATTTCTTAGATAGCTCTTCAAAATACACCATTACTGCGTTTTCTGAGAAAGTTTGGACATTTTTGGCTAATCGCTAGTCCATAAATCGGCTTAACTCAGCTTCATACCTGCTTCTGGATTTTGTGGGCAGCAGTTTCGAACATATTTCGCTTGTAAAATCTGTTCTGTAAAATCTCTACAGAATCACACATTTTCACTCCCAAACCAGAGAACACTATACCAACGAGAAGCGACCTAATTGGCGGCTCCTTTGATGTTTTGTGGTCACGCTAGAGTCGACCGATTTGACGGAAACACAATCGTTTACACTGAGAGAAGTTACACTTTTGAATAGATGTACACTGAACGAACTGCATCAGTATCAAACATTGTTCATATAATACAAGGATAACTCTGGTAAAATGTAGACAAATTAGGTATAATATATATAAAAAAATAAAACAAGATGTTTTACAACTAATATTTTTATTAAACAGATATAACATTTTTTTGCAATATTTGAAATAGTTCTTTAAAAATAGGTACCTGCCAATGCAATAACTTCTTTGGGACAATCTTCCACAATTTTGGCATTTAGCTCTTCTTGCCCATTTCTAAGTTGAGGAAACTGTATAGATATTCCGTTTGGCAATAAGATTATTCTTATATTTCCTTTACCAACATATTTGGTTTCGAAATGGTGTTCCTATAAGCCTATATACATCCACAATCTTAGACAATAAATCGAATCTATTGCAAGTTTCTATCCACACTGCAAACAAAAATAAAAATTCTGCTAAAGATATTCTTATGCAATACCATATTACAAGAAAACATACCACATTATTTTAAAAATCAAAATTTTATTTACAGTTTACAGGTAGGTTCTTAAAATAATAATAATTATAATAATTACCTTTCTAATCCTTACGTAATCTCCTTCACCAGTTTTGGACAAACAATCGCTAAAAGCACAATAATAACCATACATTTTGCAGATTTCAAGTTGATTCTAAATGGAAACGAAATACAATAGAAATAAATCCACTATCAATTAACATTATACAACACAACTGTCCACCGCCAAAAAACTATTTACTAATTAAGTACCTACTCGTTTCTTCTATTTATATTTGGCGGCTCTGACAGCTACTGACAACTGACAACTGACAACAACACAACCCAATTCGCGCATGCGCATACGAAAACTGTTAACGCAGAAAGCCTTGCTGTCGCTTCTCGTTGGTATAGTGTTCTCTGCCCAAACTTCGGGAATTCAACAATTTTTGAAGTATCTAATCAACAAAATAAAGAAGCCGTGACGGTTGCTATGAAACTCAGCCAACTTGAAACATTGCATAATTTGGGTGACAACATCAAACAAAAATCACAATCTGGAGACGCTTGTGCGAAGATGACATAACCGTGTGCAAAATGTTTAGCACACGGCGTGTGCAAAATACCGTTTTCAGAGCGTGTTTTCCGTGCGCAAAACCCCCTTTTGCAAGGCAGTTGTATAAAAAGTTATATTTATTACTGTACTTAAGATGCTTGAGGAAATCAGTATCCCGTTGAGGTTACAAGTTAAAGTGGAATATGCTGAATTTGACAGTAATGTCTCATTCATGCTCGAAAGGTACACATCTGTTTGATGGTCTTGGTGAGAGACCGATTAAGTTTATGAAAAATTGAGTCTCATGGAAACTAGAGGAGATCTAGAAGCCAGAAGCAATAATTCACAGCCACACAGAAAAAAAAAAGTTGGGTATACTTTTTATGCGACATATATTTTTTGTAGTAATTTGGTCTCCTGAACACGAATCTGGGGTCAGAATTGGCTCATCACGTCATAATTTTTTCCTAACCTCAAAAAACTTGTGAAAAATAGTGAAAATTGATGAAAATTTACTGGGAAAATTTGGAAAAAAATTTATTTCCACATCAAATAGTACATTTTTATGTAAAAGACTCTGCTGAATTCAAATCCACTGTCAGAATTGAGCTAGAACGTGTGGTTTTTTTTCTAACCTCAAAAAACCGAGCAGGAATCGCTATTTTCAAATTCTGAGCGGATTTTGACCAGATTTTGTATAAAGGGGTTTTTTGGGTCGCTGATTACGAATATGAATTCACATTGTAAAAATTCAAGATGGCTGATCCAATATGGCGGGTGTACTTTTTTGAAATCCACCGATTTCAGTAAAATTTGGCATCATAAGGATTGCTGGTTGATCTCACCTTCATTAATCACACATCTGGAGCCAGATTTTCATAAATCAAGGTAAAATTTGTAGGCAGAGTCATAATTTTAGGCCGAGTAGGCGGCATTTTTTCGGCAAAGTCACATTTTTAGATTGAAGGCATAAGCAGATGCAGTGATGTGCTGTGTGGCAGTAATGTGTCCTTTTCCTTGAACTTTAAAATTATTAAGAAATAAAAGCATCTAAATGCCATAGGAAAACTGCATAGTAGTTAAAAAAATCTGATTGGAAAACCATAAGCCCATGCACGACTAAATAAATGAAAGAATAAAGTAGAAACTTTTTTGTCTTGTCCCATGGAAACAAGCACATCACACTACACATCATTACATGTGTAGAGTCCTTAAGTCATTTTTTTAAGCGAAGTCACATTTTTAGACGGAGTGGAATCTTTTACCTTGATTTATGAAAATCTGGCTCCAGATGTGTGATTAATGAAGGTGAGATCAACCAGCAATCCTTATGATGCCAAATTTTACTGAAATCGGTGGATTTCAAAAAAGTACACCCGCCATATTGGATCAGCCATCTTGAATTTTTACAATGTGAATTCATATTCGTAATCAGCGACCCAAAAAACCCCTTTATACAAAATCTGGTCAAAATCCGCTCAGAATTTGAAAATAGCGATTCCTGCTCGGTTTTTTGAGGTTAGAAAAAAAACCACACGTTCTAGCTCAATTGTGACAGTGGATTTGAATTCAGCAGAGTCTTTTACATAAAAATGTACTATTTGATGTGGAAATAAAGTTTTTTCCAAATTTTCCCAGTAAATTTTCATCGATTTTCACTATTTTTTGAGGTTAGGAAAAAATTGTGACGTGATGGGCCAATTCTGACCCCAGATTCGTGTTCAGGAGGCCAAATTACTACGAAAAATATATGTCGCATAAAAAGTATACCCAACTTTTTTTTTCTGTGTGGCTGTGTTATCAATAGATATAAAAATTAGAGTTAGAAGTTTTAAAAGTTCAAATATTTTAGGGACTGCGGGTAGCTGCTCTTGTAGGAGGTCTAGGTACAGCTCTAGCAGCTGCTGTGAAAGTTTTCTCAATAGGGACAGACTTATTCTATGTGGTTCTGATAGGACAAGCTATTGGATCGGCTGCACAAGTTTTCATATTGTGTTTGCCAGCAAAAATCGCTGCGGTGTGGTTCAAACCAAGCGAGGTAAAAACTCCTTCCAACAATCACATCGTTATTACTACAATTATTATTATAATTTTAGGCCTCAACGACATGTTCCATAGCCGTCTTTGGAACTCAGCTGGGATTTGCCTTAGGATTCGTATTTCCAACATCTATAGTAAAGAACCATGAAGAATTATCACTGATAGCTTCCAACTTAAGGCAGTTATGTTGGAGCTTGACTCTCTACATGATTCCTGTTGCCACAGCTATTATATTTTGTAAGAGAAACAACTTTTTCTGTGTTCTTTATGAAACATAGACGAATGTGTAATAATGTTGTTTTAGATTTTCCTCGACGTCCTCCTCTGCCTCCAAGTGTCCCACAAGCGGAGGAACGAAAAAAACAACCGCCTACGTTCAATGAATTTTTGAATTTATTTTTAAAGCTCTTGAAGAAGTATGGGTTTATTACCCATATGGTGGCATACGGAATTAATATAGGAGTTTTTGCAGCCGTTGGAACTTTCTTAAATCAGTTCATTCTACAATACTTCCCGGTAAAATTAATGTCGATTGCTAAGCTCAAATAGTCATAGTGACAAAGAAAATAATCAATACAATTACTTCAAAATAATGATTTTTCTGTCAATGTATAATGTGGAAGGTTTTGAATTGTGTTAAAATATTATCAACTTCTTATTATAGTGAACTTAGACCAACTAACCATGTTCTGATAAAGAAATACAGGGTGTTAAAAAAAGAGTGTAAAATATTTAAGGAGGTAATAGTATGAACCAAAATAAGTAGAAAAGTCTCAATAAACATGGGTCCGCAAAGTAACGGTTGCGGAGATATGGAATGTTTTATGTTTTTTATTTGGAAAAACGTTGTGTATTTTCTTATAATAGTTGGTTGTTGTTTAGTGAAATAAACAGTACGTATTTGACAGTTGTTCTCAGTGCACAAGTTTTCTTTCGCTATGGCCGGTTACTCTAACGCAGAATTAACAGACATGCATTTCATGTATGGTCGTGCTAATGGAAACGCCACCGAAGCGCGACGTTTTTATGTTGACGCTTATCCAAATCGCCAGATTCCTTCACAACGCATGTTTGGAAGAATTCACCAAAGATTGCATGATACCGGTTCCTTGAGCAAACAGTGCCATTTATCCGGAAGACCAAGGTCGGTATCCACTCCTAGAGCAGAAGAAGAAATTCTAGCATTGGTAGAGCAGAATCCAGGTACGAGTGTGCGGAGAATATCAGCCGAGGTAGGAATTAGTGGTCCTCTTGTTTGGAGAATCCTTCACAAGCAACTGCTTTATCCATACCATGTTCAACGAGTACAGGCCTTAAATCCTATAAATGATCATCAAGCACGTTTGGTGTTTTGCCGCTGGTTTCTACGTCATGATGCTGAAGACCCTCGTTTTCTTGCAAACATTCTTTTTACTGATGAGGCCGGGTTCACAAGAAATGGAGTGTTTAATTTTCACAATACGCATATTTGAGCCGACGAAAATCCTCATGCTCTAATAGAATCTGGACATCAGGCACGTTTTTCATTAATCATTTGGATGGGTATTGTAGGTGACAGGTTTCTAGTCCTGTTGTTTTACCAAACCGATTAACAGGCGCTGCTTACCTCAACTTTCTGCAGAACACACTGTATGAGTTTTTGGAAGACATTCCTTTGAATCAGAGGTAACAAATGTGGTTCCAGCATGATGGTGCTCCAGTTCATTTTTCCATGGCCGTTAGAGAGCATTTACACCAAACTTTTCCACATAGATGGGTAGGAAGGGCCGGACCTGTTTTATGGCCTCCAAGATAGCCTGATCTGAACCCTCTAGATTTCTTTGTTTGGGGATATTTGAAGACATTTACTCCTGTAAATAGACTGGAAGAGCTGCAGCTACGGATTAATCAAAAGTGTCAAGAAATCCAAACCAAGGAGGGTGTTTTCGAAAGAGTTCGAATATCGTTGAGACGAAGATGTCGTGCCTGCTTGGAAATGGACGGAGGGCACTTTGAACATCTTCTGTAACTTTGTTTTTTGTTTGTTAAAAGCTTCCTTTGTCGGTTTATTCCTAATAAAATAAAATGTTTGAAAAACGAATAGTGGTCCATATCTCCGCAACCGTTACTTGGCGGACCCATGTTTATTAAGACTTTTCTGCTTATTTTGGTTCATACTATTACCTCCTGAAATATTTTACACTCTCTTTTTTAACACCCTGTATAGTAAGACATAATAAAACGTATATTTATTTTAGAAATGCGAAGAAGATGCAGGAAGAATGGGCCTTCTCATGGTCGTCTGTGGGATGATCGGTTCTATCCTGTTTGGGATATACTTGGACAAAACCCACAAATACAAGTAAGGATACGTTTAATACGAAATTTGTTCGAATACTTTTTGCCGCTTTTCAGAGAAACCACCCTCTTTATTTATTATATGTCTGCAGTTAGTGTGGCTGCGTTTATGGTGGCATTGAAACTGAAAAGCAAGATCCTGGCCTATGTCACTGCAGGAACTGTAGGGTAAGAAAAAATATACTGTTAGTAGTTCCCACTTACCATTCTGACAGCTTTCACATCTAAATAAGATGACTCTGACTCATCAGTGGCAAAAAGGTACATGTGTAACAATTTTTTCATATATTGAGATTATAGTAGTAGTTATTTTTGAGTTTGAAATGCCTCTAGCCTTGCAATTTACTGTTTTGAGCCTCTCATTTTGAATCTCCATCCCATTCCAATACCCTGATCATTACAATCTCATGAGTTGTGTGCCTCTCGATTCAATTTTGGTTGATAATAGAGAACTTGTATTTGTATCCAATGCTTATTGTTATCGTGATTGTCCAGATGTCCAGCCACATTGTCTTGTAAGGAAAACCGTTGCTCTGTCTTCTATTTTTGATGAGTGTTCCCAGGTTAGTACTTGGGCGAATTATTTCAGTATCTCTTATCGTAATTATTGACCTATTCTTTAGTATTACTTATAGCAGTTTGTAGAAGTATGAAGTAGATAATATCTTTCCACGATCTTAGATATTCTCATCTACTTTTATCTTTCTAATTAGAGTTCTTAGCTATGGCAGTTACCAGTTTTTCGTTTTCTTTTCTGAACAGTAGATAGCCACACTCTTGTTAGGTTTTCACACTTGCTCAATGTGTGGGTCGTAAGCTAATTTTCCTCTCTGGTAGAACTTACCTATATTCCGTTAGGTGATGTTACTCGAGCCTGTAATATCCATTTAGTACCTATACTAGTCGTTTTCTCCACGTTCTGTTGTCAATTACTTCTTGAAGAAGAATTTCGTGGCTTGCCTATATCTAGGGTTCCTTGTCATCAATTTTGGGATTTATCTTTTACCTATTCCTCCATGAGGAATAACATAAATAATATAACGTAGCTAGTCATGTCGTAAGAAGGTTTGATCTCTTGTTGGGTTGTAGATGAGTTTCCATGCTTCGGTTTATTCATCAGCTATCTCTGTTACATATTTCTCTTTATTCCTACAATTACTCTACTTTGTCCTTTTCATTTTCATTGTTTTACTTGATCTTGCTGATTTTTTTAAACAATTGTGAAAGCAAAGCTATTGCCAAGTGACAGGCAGTTGGATATAAACGTATTTTATAAAAAAATGTGTAAACATAATTAAATTTTACATTTTCTCGACAGATTTTTCACGAACGCTTACATGCCGGTAGGATTCGAGTTTGCTGTTGAGCTGACATTTCCATCTGACGAGAGCACAACAACGGGATTGCTGAACGCAATGACGCAAGCCTTGGGAGTTGTCCTTACGCTGGTTTTGGGCAAGCTAAATCAACATTTTGGACCTCTGTGGGCTTTGGGCAGTCAAGCGGCGATCTTGCTGGTGGGAGCTTTCCTAACACAGGCAGTGCCGAATGAGAAGAATCGGCAGATAGCCTTTGAGACGAATGAGAGTAGGAAACAACGAGGTTCAGTTACTCACAATGTATAACCTGCTTTCACTTTGGAATAAATTAGTTTTTAACAAAATTAATTGTTTATATTGATACATGCACCTACCTAGAGTTGTTATTTTAACTAGAAAGTATTACATTCCGAAACGATAAGACAATAAAAAATGGTATACTTGGGAAAAAGTTGCAAAATGTACTGTAAAATCTGTTTAAAAACTGACACTTCAAATTATGTATGAAAATATACAGATCGTGGGTTTTAATGTTTGTTAAGAGATGAAAAGAGAAGTTGAAGAGAGATAAGATTTATAGATACTTATATATCTTAAAAACGATAAGAAATGCATGCACAAAGTTGCGCAACGACAAACGATCTTGAATAACAACTTTGTAACTTTTAAAAACAATAAATTTTCCGTATATTGACATCTTGCAACTAGTGGTAAACGTTTTAACGGTTGCTGGTTTTCTTTTTCAGTTTCATTTAGAGTTTTTAGCTGAAATTAAGTTAATTTTCTTTTCTTTATTAAAATTTCAATGTTTCCAAAGTATTTATCACCGTATAATACAGGGTGTTCTACAAGCTCTAGGATAGGAACTTTGACAGATTGTAGATGGGCTAATTTAAAATATTTTTTCTTATATGAACCATAGACCTTATATAGGTCCGAACAAAGGTCGGATTCGTTTTTGTTTAGAAGTTACAAGCATTTAAATAAAATATAATTTCACATTTCAATCAAGTAGACTGATAAAAATGACGGTTGCTATAACAATAATTATTATTTCTGTCAGTTTGTTTATTCATTTGACACTTAGTATTAAAGCAGAGATACCAACGAGAAGCGACATAATTAGAGGCTTCATTGATGTTTTGTGGTCACACTAAAGTTGACCGATTTGAAGGATACACAATCGTTTACACTGAGAGAAATTATACTTTTGAATAGATGTACACTGAACGAACTGCACCAGTATCAAACATTGTTCATATAATACATGGATAAATTTGACAAAATGTAGACAAATTATAACATCATCGCAATGGTTTTCATAGCATTGTGTTATATATAATTGTAAGCATCTACTTAAGCTCTTACTTGTGGTATGCCTATACAGTGCCCAGAATTGGTAATAAATATATTGAAATATTAGAGGCTAAGGGAAACAGAAAGTCCATTAAACAGTAAATTGTAGATAATTCAGTGGTATATAGAGTTATTCCTTTGGCGTTATTTAAAATGTTATCGAAATAAAAATTCTCCTAAAGATATTCTCTTATTTTAAAAATCAGAATACTTTTTTTTATTTGCATTTTACAGGTAGGTACTTAAGATAATAATAATGATAATAATAATAATTACCTTTCGTAATCCTTAGGAAATCCAAAAAAAGGTATTGGATGAACAACCGAGAAAAGCGCAATAATAATCAGACATTCACTGATTTCAAGTTGATTCTAAATGAAAAAGAAATACAATACAAATAAATCTACTATCAATGGGAACGCCAGACAAGCAGCCCGAGAATACCGACGATACCCCATGGACCCAAATGGACATAAACTTGTCTTTAGTGCATCATTTCGTAGACTTCGAGAAGAAGGTAACCTAGCTCCAAAAAAGGTCATTCGTCCTACTGAAGTGAACGTACAAAATGAAGAAGATATAATAGATGCTGTCATTGCCAACACTTCATTCATTAGTGTTCGGCGTATAGCAAGTAATCTTCATTTATCACCGAATTTTGTATGGCGTGTATTGAACAGAGAAATGTTACATCCATTTCATCGTCAAAATGTGCAAGCGTTACATTTTTTTTTCTATATTCAAATGTTCATGTATATATTTATTAAGACGTGAATCTGCGGTCAGAATTAATGGTTCTTTTTCTAACCTCAAAAAACGGGTCAATTAAGGTCAGATATCACGAATTTTCAAACGATAACAGATTCGCTCCAAATTTGGTATACGGAGATTTTCTGGGTCGCTGATCACGGATCCTAGATCAATTTTGCAAAATTCAAGATGGCGGATCCAAGATAGCCGACCAAATTTTAACAGAACAGACCAAATAACAGAATCGCAGCAAATTTGGTATACGGGTGTTTTCGGAGTCGCTGACTACGGATCCGAGGTCAATTTTACAAAACTCAAGATGGCGGATCCAAAACGGTCGACCAAATTTTCAAATAATAACAAAATCGCAGCAAATTTGGTATACGGGGGTTTTCGGGGTCGCTGATTACGTATTCGAGGTCAGAATTGCGAAATTCATTTTGTAATATTTTGCTTTATAGCCTGAGCATCCAATCATGTGTTAACCTATTTTTTTCCGTCATATCTTGTTCTTTTTTCTGTAAACGATCTATTCGCGGGTTGAATTTTGTAAATCTAATCTTTGATTCGTGATCAGTGACCTCGAAAACCCCCGTATACTAAATTTGGCGCAAATGTGTTATTTTTTGAAAATTTGGTCGGCCATCTTGGATCCGCCATCTTGAATCCATCATCTTGAATTTTGCAAAATTGACTTCGGATCCGTGATCAGCGACCCCGGACACCCCCGTATACCAAATTTGGCGCGAATTTGTTATATTTTGAAAATTCGTGATATCTGATCTTAATTGACCCGTCTTTTTGAGGTTAGAAAAAGAACCAACAATTCTGACCACTAATTCACGTTCGGCGGGGTCTTAGCTATATATAAATGAACATTTGAATATAGAAATAATTTTTTTTGTATTTTTCCTAGCACTTTTTCGTGAATTTTTGCTATTTTTAACCTGGTTTTTTGAGGTTAGGAAATTCCTGTGATGTGGTAGCTCAATTCTGACACCGGATTCGTGTTCAGGTGGCAAAAATACTACGGATAACATATGTCGCATGAAAAGTACAGACTACTTTTTTGTGTGTGGCTGTGTAATTTACTGCCATGCATGTTTTACATGATCGCTTAAATACAGATCTGTATAGAATTTTCTTGGAAAATAACCTTTATGATTTCATTAATACGTAGAGCTTAATATTGTTCAAAGTATGTGGTGCACCACCACATAGAGGGAGACAAGTAACTGCTTGGTTAAATGATCAAGAATAAATGGATAGGTTAATAAGGTCAAATAGCATGGCCACCGCGTTCCCCAGATCTAAATTCTTTGGAATTTTAGTTATGGAGACATATGGGCTTGTCTACCATGTGGAAATCGCTACCCGTCAACAGTTACATGAAAGAATTCAGGATGCAGCTAACCAGATAAGAAATGACCCAAATCAAGGTTAACTAATGTCTATACATTAAATGCAAATAATAATTATTGTTATAGCAACCACCATTTTTATTTATCAGGCTACTTTGATTGAAATATGAAATTGTATTTATTAAAATTCTTGTAACTTCTAAACAAATACGAATCGGACCTATGTTCATATAAGAAAAAATATTGGAAATTAACCCAGCTGTCAAGTTTGTCATAGAGCTTGTAGAACAACCTGTATAAAGTTTGGTTAAATTCCAATGTTATTTTGCGGTGAATCATCAATCATTGTCTTTAAGTATAACAACTCTGTTTTACAAAAACTAATTAAATCTTCAAGCGATATATGTATAGTTTAATAAAATATTTAAATAGTAACACAATACAATTTTTTTGCAACTAATTCATCTTCAGACCACTTTGTGGTAAAACGCTGTACTTTTATTAAATTATTTCTTTAGATTATCAAGATTAAATATCGTATTGTTAGTTATTGTGTAGATAATGAAACCTCTAATCTCTGCTACTCTGCTTGTGTGAAAACACATTTTATGGATGCTTATTCAAACAATTTAAAGAATTATATGGGATAAAATGGCATTTGCCAAATTTTCGTCGCTAGCCTAGACATATTATAAACTAGAGTTCATAACATGTAATCGGAACTTCGTCAACCATTTTTGAGTAAGCATAATTAAAACATCATGGATCCGCATGTAGCGAAATGCAGCAAAGAAGAAAAGGATTATGTTGAACACTCATTACTGCAGAAGAAGGGCGAAACACAATTGAAGATCAAAGCGTATAAGCGAAGATGGACTATCCTAATTATATTCTTCATATACTCAGCGATAAGCTCGCTTCAATGGATAGAGTATTCAAGCATAACCCATCTAGTAGTAAAATATTATAAGGTCAGCACGATAGCTGTAGACTGGACCTCAATAGTGTATATGGCTGTGAATCCATTTCTCGTCATACCTGCCTCCTATATTATAGACAAAAAGGTATAATAACAACAAAGATTATTAACTGGCATGATATTTTATTTGTTAATAGGGCCTTCGAACAGCAGGCTTGATCGGATGTATTGGTACAGCCATAGGAACAGGAATAAAAGTGTTTTCAGTGCGAAATGACCTGTTTGTTGTAGTTCTTATAGGTCAAACTATTATATCAATGTCTCAAGTCACAATAATATGTTTGCCTCCAAAAATTGCTGCAGTGTGGTTTAAGTCAAATGAGGTATGTAGGCATAACAGTATATTAAGTATTAAGGTCAACAAGTGTTGGTCATTAGAAATTATTTTATTTTTAATTATTATAAACGCATTTTGTTTTGGTAATTAAATGTCTTTTCGTTCGCGTCGTGCTCCTCAATTCAGTATCATAATTTATTTTTTGCTCACCAATTTGCTAATCAACTTGATAACAAAGACAGATATCGAACCTTTTTTAGCGTCGAAATGTAGTGACTTTTATGCTCAAACCAACCTATAAAAAGTTTTTTCCTGCTATTTCACTTTTTTAAGAAAACGTGAAACAACCTAAACTTGGATAAATAGAGCCAATAAGTAACTAAATACCATACTATGCCATTTCAACAACAGTTTTCAAACTTATGCTATATTTATTAATTCTTTATGCTGAATTCATTTATGTAAAGAAAACTACAGCACTGCATTTAAAATTTTTGAGAAAAATCCATAAAACGGCATTCTGTTAAAATAACGCCATCTATAGGTTTCCATATTGAGGTAAATGACATTACGTATTCACCACGAGGTAAAGCATGAAAATACCTTTCCAACGAGGTATAACACTATGGATTTTTGATGAGCCAATCCTTAAAAAAATGCATTTTCCTGATCAGACATGTTGAGAGGTAGAACAAAATGTTAATAATAAAAGTTATGCGCAATGAATACGACTATCCATATTTATACTCTTTAATATACCTGGGAAACATTTTTGAGAAAAATTCCTCTATATTTTGGCATGTAGACTACGAACTTGAAAACTATTTCCAGCCATTTCTCTTGGTCGATTTCTTGTATAAAATTTTTTTCCCGAAGCTCTAGGGCCTATACTTCTCTAATATCGTACCTCGCCCACGTTAGCGGGACACCCTGTATATTATTTTATTTATTTCATTTTATGATGTAGTTTTCAAAGACCACTTGGTTTTCACTTATTAACACCCACTGAAATTTCAATAACATTTTGATTTTAATTACCCAGGTCAACATTTGATCTAAGAATAATCACCGGACCTGACCAGGGTATTTATAGATTTTTTGGATCGCTGATTCCGAATCCGAGGTTGGCTAAGCTCCATCACGTCAGGTTCAAGGTCATTTGAAGGTCATATGGCCAAAAATGGTCTAAAAAATCTGAAAAAATTCATACGTATGTTTTGGGGTAGCCGAGTTCAAAGCTGCAGCTATTTTTACTATTCAAAGACATCTAAAGGTCGTATCAAGGTCATTTGGAGGTCAAATCGAGAAATATGGTCAAAAAAATCTGAGAAAATTTATACGTATGTTTTTATAGTGCCTGAGTTAAAATTCGCTGTCGGTTTCACCCCTGAAGAACATCTGAAGGTCATATGAAGGTCATATCAAGGTCATTTGAAGGTCTAATCGAGAAAATCGGTCAAAAAATCTGAATTAATTTATCCGTATATTGTTGGGCGAGCTGAGTTCAAAGCCGCAGTTATTTTCACCATTTAAGTACATCTAAAGGTCGTATCAAGGTCATGTCGAGGTCATTTGTAGGTCAAATCGAGAAAATCGGTCTAAAAAATCTGAAAAAATTTATACGTATGTATACGACTCCTGACCCAATGAGGCGAAAACATAAAGGAGGCTAGCCAGTTAAGGCATGAACAAGAGTGAGTCCAGCCAGTTAAGGCAAGACGAGTGAATGTTCCGACCAGATAAGGCAGGAAAAAGAGTGTGTCCAGCCACTTAAGGCAAGACGACTGAATGTCCCGGCCAGTTAAGGCAAGAATATAAACGCGTCCAGACAATTAAGTAAAGACGAGTGAATGTCGGAACATTCACTCGTCTTGCCTTAACTGGCTGGACACACTCTTGTTCATGCCTTAACTGGCTAGGACATTCACTCGTCTTGCCTTAATTGGTTGGACACGCTTATATTTCTACCTAACTGACCGGAAAATTGCCTTAACTGGCTAGCCTCCTTTATGTTTTCGCCTCATTCGGTCAGGAGTCGTATACATACGTATAAATTTTTCAGATTTTTTAGACCGATTTTCTCGATTTGACCTACAAATGACCTCGACATGACCTTGATACGACCTTTAGATGTACTTAAATGGTGAAAATAACATCGGCTTTGAACTTAGCTAGCCCAACAACATACGTATACATTTTTTCAGATTTTTTAGACCGATTTTGTCGATTTGACCTTCAAATGACCTTGATATGACCTTCATATGACCTTCAGATGTCCTTCAGGGGTGAAACTGACTGCGGATTTTAACTCAGCTACTCCAAAAACATACGTATACATTTTCTCAGATTTTTTAGACCACATTTCTCGATTTACCTCCAAATGACCTTGATACGACCTTTAGATGTCTTTGAATGGTAAAAATAGCAGCGGCCGTGAACTCGGCTCCCCCAAAAACATACGTATGAATTTTTTCAGATTTTTTTAGACCATTTTTGGCCATTTGACCTTCAAATGACCTTCAACCTGACATGTTGGAGCTTAGCCAACCTCGGATTCGGAATCAGCGATCCAAAAAATCCAAGGGAACCCTGGTCAGGTCCGGTGATTATTCTTAGATCAAATGTTGACCTGTGTTATCTAATCATTCGCATTTGTCCATCTGAATGGAAAAACAATAAAATTAAATTAAAAATAATAAATGAATTTCAATAGATATGTTTAATAAAACTTTTTCTCAGGTATCCACAGCTTGTTCTATTGGTGCGATCGGTATGCAGATAGGCTGTGCTATAGGATATATTTTGCCACCATCTATTGTAAAAGATTCTGTTAATTTGGAGGATATTGGAGCAGGATTATATTTGCTGTGCTGGATTTTAGCAGGGTCGACGATACCTGTGACAGTTGCGGTATTATTCTGTAAGTTAGAATTTAGTATAGTATACAGCACACAAATATTTTACCATAACTTATGGTACACTCTCTTGACCACATTTCCTGCGGGTTGTGTCTAAATTGAATTAATTGAGGGGACCGCCTAGCCGGGTGTCTTGGCCGGTGGATTTCGATCTGCTGAGGTAAGCATCACGAACGCAGGCTGGAATTTGGATGGGTGACCTAAGGCAGGTTCGGGGACGTGACTGTGGCAGCCTATCAGAGCCCTGGGTCGCCCAACATTCGCCGCATGCGTATGGTCCCCGATAAATGGTAATGAGAACAGAGCCAACAAAATCTCTGTAACTCAAGACCATGCTATCATACATAAACTGTACGAGACTTTGCCACCAAGCCATCCGTGTAGTAAATAGGATGGTTTGAAGAAAAGTACTCGAGTAATGAAGGAGGGTGTACAAGGGGCCTAATAAGGCCTAAGTGCCGCGGTGGAAAAACAACTCCACCACCCTCCGACATACATAGATACATACATTGAAGAAATTGAAAATAGTTGAATGACATATTTTCTGCAAACCTTGAACATCACTGTAATGGAAATAAATACAAGCAGGTATACTTTGATTTCCAGACTTTTCAGCTGAACCTCCACTACCACCGAGCAATGCACAAGCTAATTTACGACAAAATAAAGAAGAATTCAGTACAAAGGCGTTTTTTCTTTCTATAAAAAAATTGTTTCAAAATAAACCGTTTGTCATACATATGGTAGCCTACGGGATTAACATAGCTGTTTTTTCTGCAGTTGGTACTCTCTGGACTCAGTTTGTTCTCCAATACTTCGAGGTTTGTATCACATTTTTTTTAACACTTTTTAAGTATATCCTATTTTGTTACAGTAAAGCATTTCGGTTCATAAAAAATACAGGAAATTCAGATACGCTTATGAGATTCGTTTGTACATCAATCTCTCAAATACCTACAGCCATTGAATTTCTTTAATGACAGTTGAGTTGGCTACCCAGCTTGAATTGTTTCTGATTAATTGAAGTGATGGTAGCAATGAAACAATGGATTGCAGAAACTTACTCATAGTACCACTAGATTTATATTATAACTTCTATTTAAACATCTAATTTGTAAAAAAATTATAAAAAAAACAGTGATAGTTTTTTAAAGGTGAATGTTATTTTATTAGGGTGCTAGTGAAGATGCAGGGAGGATGGGTTTTATAATGGTAATTGTTGGAGCGCTAAGCTCGATTGTGTTTGGCATACTACTGGATAAGACTCGTAAATATAAGTAAGTAATAATTTTTCTTACATACAATGTCGGATTTTTGGTTAGGTACTTATTAAGTGTAATTTTTAACATGTTGCAGAGAAATTACTTTCCTTAATTACCTTGGATCTGCAATCAGTATTTACATGCTTATGTATGCCCTTGAATGGAAATCTATGCTGCTAATGTACATATCCACTGTTATTGTAGGGTATGTCATTTAATTATTCAATAATATATATGTATTTACACAGTTTTTTCACATCATTGAAAAAATATACGTTAAAATTTGATTTTTAGTTCTTTATTTGTTTATTCCAGTGTCTTCACCAGTGCCTACATGCCAGTTGGTTTCGAGTTTGCCATGGAACTAACTTTTCCATCAGAAGAGAGCACCACAACTGGAATACTCATAGCTATGACTCAAGTACTGGGTGCTATATTCACAGTTGCTGTCGGTTATTTGAATTTGTGGGTTGGTTGCTATTGGTCTCTGTTCAGTCAGGGAGCTCTTCTGATCCTGGGAACCGTGTTTACAGGATGTGTTCCAAATAAACTGCTGCAGCAAGAAGCTTTCAAGCAGAATTTGATTGAAAGAAAAGTTTCTCATCATGGATCCCATTTGATTTTCATTGAGTGAATGTTAAATACACTTTTTATGGTTCTTTTTAGATTTTTTTATATTTGATCTTTGTGTAATTGCTATTTGGAGGGATCTTCTAAAAATAATAGTCACAGAATGGAAGTAATTCAGTATAATATATGGAAAATTATATTTAAAAAATCCATTTTATGCTCATGTCAAAATTTATGTCGGGCAAACGATATATGTATATTAAGAACATAAAGTATTTTATAGATGCACAAAAATAATAAATCCAAACTGTTCTTAGTCAATTTAATACCAGATTTACTTTACATAAAAAAATTGAAATACCTGTTTGAAAAAAACTTATTTTCAAAAATGTTTGTCCCGTCTTGGTATAAAATTCTGTAATATGCTTCCGCAATGCGTTTAAAAGCAATACTAGAAACTTTGTAATTAATGATATAAAAAAATGCTTATTACTTTTTTCATCGATGTGTATAATTAGCTTTGTAAATTACAGTTTTAGCTCTATTAGTTGGATCTTTACAAACAAACCACTTGATTTAGGTGATTAATAAATTTCTTTATTTTTAATTAGAATATTTATTTTTATTGTCTATTTATTGTTTTCGGAACCACATATGCGAATTAGAATAATTTAAATTTCATAAAAACTGGTAAAAAATTGTAATTGCTTTAAATAAATAACAAACAATCAATAGTCTGAAATTTTATTTCATTATTCGCGCACCCAAATATAAAAGTAAATAATTTCAAAAAAAGGGTAACAATAAGGTAATATTGAAATCATTACCTTATTGTTATTGTTCCTAGCATATTGATCAAAATCAATACAAAATTCAGCAACGTCACAATTTTCTTTAATTCGTTTATTTTACGTCTGACTAGAATTGTTACTAAGGTTAAACACCGACAGCTGAAAAAGAATAACCTCTAAACCTGAAAATTTTTCCGCATCCCTGCTTTGTTGTAGAGTAGGTATCTTTTACTTACTTAACATTCTTAGACAAAAGACTAACGGTTTTATGTCACTCCCACAAATCTCATCATCATGTCACCCGTCAAAGTACTAACCGCAGTCAAGATTGCTTGACTTTTGTTCATTCTTGGGATTGTTTTTCTAAACAGGGTATTTATTAAACATACGGCAAAAATTCGAAATGTTATTCTCTGGACGATTCTAAGAAAATTTTGTCCTCCGATGATTTTTGAAAAACCGCTTTGTTACAGGGCAAGACAAATTTTCGACAAAATCAATTTTGATATTTTTGAAATTATTAATGTAGTCGAAATAAAAGTATGGGTTTCCAAGTATAATTTTTTTTCGGAAGAAAAAAGGAGGCAAGTGCAGGCATGGAAAAGAAACCAGTTTGAAAGTGGATTTCATTTGAATACGTTTCGTGATTGATCATTTTAGCTATGTTTTTTTGACATAGATGATTGGATCAAACAAGTCAGTTCCAATCGTATGATGTTTTTTTGATAATTTTGGATCTGGTTTTAAAGATCGCGTTTCGTTTTCCCTCTTCCCCTCCGGATCGTAAAATTTCTGTGATCATTTTGATACAATCAGGATCCAACTACCGTTTGAGGTTATGAATGAAGTCATTTATGATGTCATTTATTTGAATCTTACCAAAGATACGGCAAGGATTAAACAAGTTTAAACAATAATGTCTAGCACGATAGTTAATATTGTGGAAATTGATGAATATTCCTATATATTTGAGACACCTAGTAAGTATTTTATAATTTATAAAATACACATATTGACTTATAAAATGTAATTTATAGAAGGAGAAAGATATCAACTTGCCAAGGAAAATGATTATTATGAAATCGGTCAAACTTTAGAAATTGATAGGGAATGGTTTGATCAACTTCAACAGTCTTCAAGAAATATAGAAAATGATGAAAATTCATTACCAGGAACCATAGCATCATCATTATCTGAAATTTGGTCAGAAGCAGAAACATTAGCTTTGATCAAAGTGTATGAAGAACATATGGAGGATTTTAAACATGCTAAAAAAAGAAAGACTGTGTGGATAGTAATTACAGAGAAACTACAAAGTATGGGAGTCTGTGTACGTTTTTATAAGTAGTTACAAGCAGTGTTGCCTTACTTAATATACTTTCATTCTTATTTCAGAAATCAGCTGAGAAAATTGAACGCAAATGGTTAAATTTAATTAAAGTATACCGCTCTATTAAAGATAATAAGGGTCCCAGAAAAACTGGACGAGGGGCTAACCATTACAAATATTTTGAATTATTAGATGAAATTCTTGGAGATAAACCTTCAAATAAATCATCAGAAACTTTAGAAGTATTTGATAATTCAGAAATATCTGGTAGTGGAGGAACCACATCAACAGAAGTAGAAAGTGCCAGTGAACTACCTGGTGAGCCATCTACAAAAAAGCCACGTTTGAATGCTACACAGGCGTTTTTAAAATCCAAACAAGAATATTTTTTACAAAAACAAAAGAGGCACACTGAGAGAATGAAAATAGAACAGGAAAAAATAGAAATTGAGAAACAGAAAATTGCCTTGTTAGAAAAATATTTACAAGGCTAGGATATATTTTGGTAATTATTTACTACCATACTGCTTATTTCAAATCTGGAATTATATTTGTGAGATCGAACGTAGTTTTAAGGAAAACTATTAAAATATTTTATATAAACTATTGCCATTATTCAGTTTGTTATATTTAAGCATGCATTGTGCAACATTTTACAAAGCTTATTTAATATTAGGCAGCAACATAAAATATTATTTGTATTAAATTCAATAATAAACAAAACATTTGTAAAATGTTATCCAATTGATGATTAATATTTCAACAAACTAAATATTTTAATATATTAATACTTGAACTTCTTTCAGGTTTTCTTTACGAGGGTTTACTAGGTTCTCCTAGTCAAGAAAAAATTCAGTTTGTTTTGTTCATTTTAACACAGTTTGATTTGTTTCGAGATTGTAGGTATTAAATAATATATTGCAATGTTATAGTCTTAAAATATTTATTAAATGTTAACAGAATATATTATTGAGTTTTTTCTATCAAGTCCATACCACCATCGTTATCTTCTAAACAAATGTTATGCAATACACAAGCAGCCATCACACATTTACTTATCATTCTATGCTTTAAATTATCGAATTTAGTCAATCTCCTAAAACGACCTTTGAGTAAACCAAAAGCATGTTCAACTACAATACGAGTTGCAGACTGCTTATAGTTAAAATCCCTTTCATCTTCTGATAAAAAACCATTATCTTTGTAAGGAGGTATGAGCCAATTTAATCTAGGATAAGCAGAATCTCCTAAGAGTTTATATTTGCCATAAAATAAAGAATTTGTATTGCTAACAGCCCTTCTGTAGAATCGAGATTTTCTCAGCATTCTCGCATCATGAAGGGAGCCTGGCTCACCAACAGTTACATCGATGAACTTAAGATTTTCTTGTACAATTCGTTGTATGAGAATGCTGTGAAATCCTTTTCTATTGACAAAGTCGTCTTTTTGCTTAACTGGTTTTCGAATTGGTATATGAGACCCATCAATAGCAGCAATTACATATTTAAGACCCTTCTTTTTTTCAAAATTCTGACTGCTTTTTTCAGCTATCTCTTCATTTGGCCACTTAATATATGTAGAATTAAGAGTACAGAGAAATTCTGTAACCTTCGAGACAGTATTGTATGCACTACTGCGTGTTACATTAAAACGGTCTGCAATTTGCCTAAACGTTTCACAATTTGATAAATACCAAATTGTTAGTAAAACTGCTTTTTCCGGATAAATCGCTGGCCATCCTCCATGATGAACTGCGCAATTTTCAACTATATGCTGCTTGTAAAAACCTTAGGAAATTAACATAAAAGTAATGAATGCTACTTAAATTACAAAAGTTAAATATTAATACCAATTATTTTGTAAGTAGTACAACGATTAACACGGAAATGTTCCCGGAATTCAACATCTGTATATTGGTTTACAATAGTTTCTGTGTAATCAGAAATTCTAGTTTTCTTTCTTCTACTTATTAATTCATCGTCTGTTGCATGGCTTTCACTGCTGCTACTCCATTCAGTGGATGATATTTTGTTGATGAGGATATCCTACAAACAATAATTATAACGGTTTTGTGGTTATTAACTCATAGTTTAGTAGTAATATAGTAAATACTTACAGATACTAAAGATTTCACAAAATTATCCATTTTCGTTGTAGTAACATACAATTTATGAATATCACAAATTATTTAAGGTTATTTATGTATGTAGTACAGTAACTCAGATGAGTATGGATATATCGTGCATGAGTAACTAAATTATTTATTTAGACTTATGCAGTAACATTTTGTAGGTTACAAGTTTGAATCTGAATCTGAAAAAATACATGTTCATTTGTATCGCAGATTGGATTGCAATATTTGGATCGGATTCGTTAATCATGATTGAAAATCATTGTACAAAAAAACACAGCTTTTGTATGTGTCGAATTTGTTGAGACTGATTGACGTTTGGCTGTTTGACGTGTATTTTATGTCTTCAACAGTTAAACTTTTGTTAGTAAAGTCTTCTATCATGATTCGCTTAAAGAACGCTGAGATGACTGACATACATTTCTTTTACGGACAAGCTGATGGTATGGCAGTTCATTAAAAGCTAGTCGGTTGTACATTGAATGATTTCCTGACCGTAATGTTCCTGATAGAAAAACCTTCCAAGGTATTCATCAACGTCTTCATGAAACATGCACATTGAAACGAAGTGGAGACCAGGAAGGCCAATGACAGTAAGAACGGTAGAAGTGGAAGAGAATGTGCTGGACATGATATAGGTAGATCCAGGTACTTCTACTCGAAAAATTGCAAATGGGACTGTTTGGAATATTCTTGGGGACTATTTGTTGTACCCATGTCAGATACAACAAGTTCAGGTACTTCTTCCTCCTGAATTTCCTTCACGTATTGAATTCTGTCAACTGGTTTTCCACGCATTGGTTGAAATCCGTCAACTACTGACGCTGATTCTTTTTCGCGAATTTCTCAAGAAATGCAATAAGGAATTTTCACTATAACCATGAAGAAAGTCCACATGAGGTACTTGAAGGTGGTTTTCAACATCATTACTCGTTGAACGTTTGGGTTGGAATTGTGGATGGCTGGCAAATTGGACCGGTATTTTTACCAGGAAGACTTACCGGCGCCAGCGAGGCAACAAACGCTACGTCAGTTTCTGGAGGACGTCCCATTGGAAACAAGAAATGCAGTTTAGTTTATGCACGATGCTGCCCCATTTTAGTGTGGTTGCTCGTGAGTTTTTAACAGTAATATACGGAGATCTCTGGATTGGTCGAGGTGGACTTCACTTATGACCTGCTCTATTCCCGGATTTAAACCCTCTGGATTATTTCCTATGGGGCTATCATTAGTTTATACTACTCTAGTGGAAAATGGGGAATATTTAAGAAATCGGATAATTACTAGATGCAACTCAATAAGAAACGACACTGGTGTTTTTGAATTATTATTTTACTTCGGCAGTCAATGTTATTATCAAACATTTTTCTCGCCCTGTGTCTTTGGAACAAAGCGGCTTTCCAAAAATCATCAAAGAAAAAAATATTCTTAGAATAGTACAGGAAATAACCCCTTGAAATTTTGCCGTATGTATATATTTTATGTTGTTGCCATATATTTGATTTTGAAATAAGGTCAATTTTTTTTCTGCATTAACATTCTATTTTTCCAAAATATCAATTCCCACTTAATATTTAGCTTGGTTAAATCATATTTATCAGTCGCTGTCTATAAGTATAACAAATCTGTTTTACAAAAAGAAATTAAATTGACTTTAAGTGCTAAAAGTTTAATAAAATATTTGAAGAGTAACACAATGCAATTTCTTATAACTAAGCCATCTTTAGACCTCTTTGTGACATAAAGCCGTATTTTTATTACTTATTTCTTTAGATTATCACGATTACATATATTAGCAAATCGCATTGTTACTTTCTGTGTATACAATGAAATCTCTAATCTCCGCTACTACTTACGTGGAAAATAAACAGTATAAACTTTATGGACGATTATTCAGATAATTTAAAGTATTACGTAGGATAAAAGGCATTTGCCCAATTTTCAAAAAACACTCCCGAGTTTGCAACTAGTCACCAGAGTTTGTAATATGTAAGTGGATCGTCGTCAACAAAACCATCATGGCTCCGGACGTGTCAAAGGGCAGCAAAGGAGAGAACAATGATGTTGACCACACTTTGCTGCAGAAAAAGAGCGAAACACACTTGCAGATCAAAGCGTTTAAACGAAGATGGATCATCCTTATTATATTCTTCATATACGCAGCAATAAATTCATTTCAGTGGATAGAATACTCAAGCATGACCCATCTAGTAGTAAAATATTATAAGGTCAGCACGTTGGCTGTGGACTGGACCTCAATAGTGTATATGGCTTTGTACCCATTTTTCGTGATACCTGCATCCTATATCATAGACAAAAAGGTATAATATGAGTATCATGAATTAATAAGAACATCGCGTATGATTGAATAATTATTCGAATTTGTTAACAGGGTCTTCGAACAGCAGGATTGATCGGATGTATTGGTACAGCCATAGGAACAGGAATAAAAGTGTTTTCAGTGAGAAGTGATCTATTTCTTGTGGTTCTTGTAGGTCAAGCTATAGTATCAATGTCTCAAGTTACAATAATTTGTTTACCACCAAAAATTGCTGCAATATGGTTTAAACCAAATGAGGTATAAAACATATATTTATATTATCAGTACTGCTCACTACATTGCAAGTATTCTCTGATAACGTTGATTATTATTTTATCCATTTCATTTTATTTTTCAAAAGCCATTTGGTTTTCACTGACACTTACTTGCCATTTCAAAACATTTTGGAATTCAATTATTCAACCATTCACATCTGTTCATTTGATACAAAAGTTTTGGTACAATTAAAGTTTTTCTCAGGTATCCACAGCTTGTTCCCTTGGTGTGATCGGTACTCAGCTAGGCTGTGCTATAGGATATATTTTGCCTCCGTCTATTGTAAAAGATTCTGATAATTTGGAGGATATTGGAGCAGGATTATATTTGCTGTGCTGGATTCTAGCAGGGTCTATGATACCTGTGACCATTGCTGTATTATTCTGTAAGTTAAAAGCTTGTATACTACACAAATATTTTACTGTAACGTATGGTACACTCTTTTGGCCACTTTCTCTTTTGGTTTTGTCTAAACAAAGTTGATTGACATACAACGTACATGGATTATTATTAAAGATTTCAGTGAAACAAATAAATACAAGTAGGCTAATTTGATTTCCAGATTTTCCTGCTGAACCTCCACTACCACCAAGCAATGCGCAAGCCAATCTACGACAAAATAAAGAAGAATTCAGTACAAAGGCGTTTTTCCTTTCTATAAAGAAATTGTTTCAAAATAAACCATTTGTCATACATATGGTAGCCTACGGGATTAACATAGCTGTTTTTTCTGCAGTTGGTACGCTTTTGTCTCAGTTTGTTCTACAGTACTTCGAGGTGTGTATCATGTTTTGTTTATAATATTGCTTAAGGGTATTCTATTCAGTTACAGTCAACCGTAGTGAATTTCAGTTCATAACAAATAGAAAAAAATCAAATACACTTGCATGATTTTTTTAGTTGTATTACCCTGTTCTTTTTTTAATTTGGCACATCAATCTTTCATTTGCATTTTTTATAATAACAGCTGAGTAGGCTAACCTGGTTTTGGATATTTTGTATGTAAAAAAACACTAACAGCTTTATAAAGGTGAATGTTATTTTATTAGGGTGCCAGTGAAGACGCTGGAAGGATGGGTTTTATAATGGTAATTGCTGGAGCGCTAGGCTCGATTGTGTTTGGAATACTGCTGGATAAGACTCACAAATATAAGTAAGTAGTAATTCTCTTGCCCCTTGCACAGTAATACATAAATTTTAATATATTTTAGGGAGATCACTTTCCTCAATTACCTTGGATCTGCAATTAGCGTTTTCATGCTTATGTATGCCCTTGAATGGAAATCCATGTTGCTCACATACTTATCTTGTGCCATTGTAGGGTATGTTAATTGGTTTTTTAATACTACAGTATCTTTAGACTGAATATATATACTCTTTCATCAATATTGGTGACTACTTTGGTTCAATATTTAATTACCTTTTCCAGTGTCTTCACCAATGCCTACATGCCAGTTGGTTTCGAGTTTGCCATGGAATTAACTTTTCCATCGGAAGAGAGCACCACAACTGGAATACTCATGGCTATGACTCAGGTACTGGGTGCTCTATTCGCAATTGGTGTAGGTTATTTGAATTTGTGGATCGGCTGCTACTGGTCTCTGTTCAGTCAAGGAGTTCTTCTGTTCCTAGGAACGGTGATTACAGGATACGTTCCCAATAAACTGCTGCGGCAAGAAGCTTTCAAGCAGAATTTGATTGAAAGAAAAGTTTCGCACCTTGGATCTCGGTTGGTTTTCATTGAGTAATTGTTAAATACATATTTTTATGACTTTTTATAATGTTTTTTATTTGATCCCTATGGAGTTTACAAGTGTATTTATACGTATATACACAAAATGTTTAATAAGTCATGGAGACATTACTTTTGACTTTCGTTGTACATATATTAGCAATTTTAGTTGCTTTTTTAAGAAACTTTATAGAAAAATAGTAGAAATGTAACCACACCATTCATAGTATCCTCCAAGTGGAAGTAAGCCAAACCAATTTAGATAAGCTAGGTGGACCATGGTAACATACTTTTTTTATTTCAGTAGTATTACACAGCTTTAATAAAACATCTCATAAGACTCATCGTATACACAAAGTTTACATTACATTCATTGTCATCTAGTCGTTCACTTTTATTTTCCTTATGAAAACTCTTTACTGCATCTGATATATTTTAGACATATTTTCTTATAATTACGTAGTAGCACATCTTCAGGCTTTGACTGAGAACTAGTTACTCTATCTGGATTTCTTTCTAAATTAACTAATTTCTTGTTTTTGTCTTTGCTGGGTGCAATATCTTTTTACTCACATCAAATTTTGTCCATATAAACTTTTCTTAAATTTCTTTTTTTTGGACTAAGCATTGAATTTGTATCTTATAGTCTCTCCGAAGTCAGTTGAACATGTATAAGAACGCTTAGCAATTAAATTTAATGAGATTCATAGGCGTCCCTAAAAAAATTTCTGCTAAACGTAAAAAATTATAATAATTTGTATATGTATGTTTAGAAAATTTCTATTATATGTTCATTTGACTAACAGCATATTTTAAATATTTATGTCCTCAAACAATTTTATTATATTTCGTTTTGTTCCGTTTCAGAGGGTCTCCAAAATGCCATGTTGTTGCAAATATCCCTCTTATTTCTCCCTTTCTCAACTGTAATATCAATGATTAATAGAAGGTGCCTATACTAATTAAAATTACCTGAATCTCACCAAATTCCGCGTTGCTGCACTGCACTGCTAGACCATTTGTTGACAACTGAATTTATGGCCAGGTGGTCCAGTGCGGCTGTGTTTGTGACGCGTTTGCCCGCGTGCTCATTCTTCAACTGGGCGACCAGATCTGTATACGGGTATGGCTAAATAAATATGGGAACAAGTTTTTCAAATATTTAAATGCCGAGTTGCTGCGTCAGCGACCGAACCTGGTACATACTGCCAACTTCTTGGTTCTTCAATTGAGATCCGAAAGACTATACCAGTTAACTTTTTAAGCTTAAATTTTATTGTGGTTTTGGATAAGTCATATTTTCCAAATACTTCATTTAGCTTCGTATTGTTTGTATAAATTTATCGACTTATTTGCTTTATATTTCCTTTGCAAATGACTTTTTTTTTTAACTAAATATATTGTAAACTCTTCTCCATATATTTTATCCAACTATCTTCTGAAGAGATGGAAGTTAAACTACCATATTACAAATAAACAATGTTTAGAACTACTGCAATTGATTTTTGAGATGTACATTCATCTTCAGTTGATGATATTATAAATTAATTATACAGGGATGGTCAGAAGTATCTACGGAATAAAATTCATATCTTTTGAATGAGTTAATTTTTTTTAAAATGCCGAAACACGTTAACTGATTTTGATTTTTTCCCATCTTTCGGTTATATAATAATTAATTTTTCTTCAACCCCCTAACCCCTAGCTACCTCTACTTTTTTTTTTCAAATGGAAACACAAGGCATGAGGGGACTCGTTGAAAAGCTTATAGAAAACCGAATCCAGCCATACCAAATAAACAAGTTTAATTTTTTCAATAGCAAGGTTTTTAGGATTGTATAAAACACCTACTTAACAAGTGAAATAAAATTTAATTACCTTCAGTGTTATCCTCCATGAATTTGCACAGAATAAAATAAAAAATTCGAAACTGTACCTATCACTGCTAACGCAAAAAAGATATATTTTTTATGTTGCGTTTTTATGGCACCACTTACTTGCCAGGCTTTCTGGTTAATTTTTCACTTTAGTTGTAAATTGGAGTTCGAAACGATACTATTGTGTCAAATCAAGTTATTTACTGAATTGCAATGGTATTGTCGGAAAGGCAATGCATCGAAATCTTGATATTGCTTGGATGTTGAGACAAAATAAGTCAGGCTGAAGTGCCCGATTTATTTAATGCGAAATATCCCGAAAACCAAATCTCGCAAGGGACAGTTAGTAAAATATTTCAGAAATTTGAGGAACACGGTACAGTACAGTGCTTTGAATGAAGAAAAGAAATTAGACATTGCATTAGAACTTGTTGAAAATCCTCATACTTCAACTCTTTCATTGGCCCGCAATCACGATGCTTCTCGAACTGCAATTCGAATGTTTCTGAAACAAGAGAAATACCACCCCTATAAGGTATGTCTTGTACAAGAGCTTTTGGAAGACGATTATGATAGGCGATTACAATTTTGTGAGGAAATGATGAGACGGTATGACGACAATAATGGTTTTCAATGAGACGTACTTTTTTCGGATGAAGCTACGTTTTATTTAAATGGAGTGATTAACAGGCACAACTATCGCTTTTGGTACCAGGAAAATCCACACTGGACATGCGAATCGCATACGCAGCATCCACAAAAAGTTAATGTATGGGCAGGTATCATCAACAACAGAATCTTGGGCCCATTCTTTTTTCATGAAAATCTTACTGCCGCACGCTACCTGGATTTCCTAACATTTGATCTGATACCTGCTCTAGCTGAGATTTTCCCTCATGAAATTGACCCAGATATACCTACCGAATGAAAGAATTTGGTTCCAACAAGATGGCGCTACCTCATATTTTGGTATTGATGTTCGAAGATACTTAGATGAAATGTTTCCAAATCGCTGGATTGTAGACGGGGTACAGTTGAATGGCCGCCAAGATCCCCCGATTAACACCCCTGGATTATTTTCTTTGGGGATATTTGAAAGAAAGCGTCTACCAGGACAGACCGGATAATATTGAGAATTTAAAGAACAAGATTAGGGCGGAGATGCATAATTTACTCATTTAGAATGCTATGGACAGCTTTTACTATCGTCTTGGAGAATGGCAAATAGTGAATGGAGAACATTTTCAGTATTTGCGACATTGAGTTTATTTTTGTAAATTATCTAGTTGTTTCAATTTCTAAATGAAAAAAAACTTGTTATTGAAAAAATAAAACTTGTTTATTTGGTATGGCTGGATTCGGTTTTCTATAAGCTTTTCAATGAGCCCCATCATGCCTTATGTTTCCATTTGAAAAAAAATAACTCATTCGAAAGATATGAATTTTATTCCGTACTTCTGGCCATCCCTGTATATTCAAGCTTACCATATCTCAAAGAATACTGTCACAAAAGCCTATTATAGTATAAATGTTCTATTCGAATAATAGTTTCAGTGATCAATTATTTCATAAATGAATGAAACAAGATTATTGTTTATCATGATAAATATAACTTATTTCTCAATGAAAGACCTATTTTTTGCCAAGATTTAAGATTACTATCTATCCTTTTGGTCCAACTTTCCACCTTCACGTATAAAATGATTTAGTATCGGTGACAACATTGTTATTGGTCGCAAAGTAAATTAATAAAAAGCAAAACTAACTTTATTTTGATATTTCTTTAGTCGCATATTGATTCAATGTAAAAAACGAAGTAATCGCACATGAATCTCCATACTGATATCTAGTGTACAAACTTAGATCTACGCTAACTAACACGAGAAGGTTTCGTTTTCATGGAAGCTAACTCGTTTCACCTCACAGATGGAAGCACCGATTAGGTTACGCTTTTGTTTCATGGACGGCTCTTAGATGGGGTCCTTGATGTACCACAATATCTTTTCCTGATCCACCAACTTTGTATTTCCAAACAAACAATCATATGTTTTGTGTCATCCTTTGTCTACATGTGGTTTTACGCGATAAGCTTTTGTCTAAAGTAAACTTTATAATTGTCTGTTATTATTAGGGTTGTCCTGCGATGTGAGTGTCACAACGTTAGAATCAAAGTGACTTTTATTTTGTTTTATGTCGTAATACTTTTCTTTTGTTATTTAATGTACTGACATTTAGGACAAAGGTACGTCTGTAGGCAGGTAAGTAATTTCAATTGATATTTGATCTCCCAAAATTAGTGAGCCACTTGTGAATTAAGTTACATTGAGCTTTATTTATTGATGCTATTTAAATATTAAATTTTTAAATAGGTACTTAACAGGTTGTAATAATAGATACCTTTCATTGTTGTGTTACAGTACTTATCTATAATCTACCAAATTTGAATGATTTGAAAAATAAATAGGTAATATTAATAGTGATTTAAAATGTTTGTTTATTATTATTAGCAATTATCAAAAATCTTAAAATGCAGTAAATACTCAATAAAATTTTTGAGACCTGCTATTGTACATATACCTACGTGCAGGAATAAAAAAATCCTTAATTATCTTTTAAATTAGAATATATATATAATTTTATTACTTCAGACAAAAAGTAAAACTTGTATTTATTATTTAAATTTAATGCATAGAAATACTTTGAAGGTCGTATTTTAAATTTATTGTATAAGTATCTAATGTATAGTTGCTTGTTTCAATTTTTTTTGTAGTACATAGTTAGGAATTTCAAAAGATTTTTAATAAATCTTTTTCTAAGGAAACACCTGTGCATTCCTAAAAGTGTGTTATTATTAGTTACAGCGAATTTTAATTTAAAATTTAATTTTAATTAAAAATAAAGAGCTATTGTTTGAGAGTATCACAGTATTTGTTTATTCAAGAATTTAGATATTTTATATTGTCTCTGCTTAAGCTATTTTTACGAAATAAATATTTTTATCTGCCAAAGGTAAATTATATGTACAAACTGTGTCTGGTTTTTGTTAATTCCAGTAAGCTTCTTGTTGCGAGTCAAAGTTCTGGGCGTCCTTTGTATTTTCCAAGGCAAGTTAATACCTGATTTGCGCAATGATTCACAGTGTAGTTTATTTAAAATGTCGGTAAATGTGAAATGTCAAAAATATTTAGACATTATGCATTTATTTGGCTAAATAAAGAACCAATATTTACAAATTTTTATTTCTGTTCGGAAATGCCGGAAATACTATGGTATCTTTATCGTTAAACGCGTTTGTCCCAAAAACGTATATCGGTACAGAGATGAATAATTTTTATTCAGTTGTATCTTTTAAATACTAATCTTTCGAGTCTCCGATCGTATTCCCACAAAATCTGGAATCTGATAAAATGATAAATCTATCAAAGAACTACCTGTTTACGAAATATTAATACATGATAAAATGTGTTTTCTTAATTATTATAATAAAAATTAGTAACACGAAAGGATTAACGGCAAATGATTACAAAATATACGTATTTTATTTGCATTGTGCATTGTCAAAATTTTTAGGCTATTCTATTTTATTTAAATTTAATGTTTTCTTAGAAACTTTTGTTGTCTTTCTTCATTTCTGATATAAATAACGAAGATATTCTTAGCCAAATTAATGGAATTTCTGTTGCCAAGTGTTTGCCAATAAATGTTTCTTGCGCATATAATTTACAATTAATAATTTTCACTTGCATCAACTGGGCGAGGATTATTATAGTTGATATACCTGTTACTAATTAACTGTGAAGAGAAATTTTAGTGTTGTTGCCCAATAAGAACCGACAGATTTCGAGGTACGAATGGTATTTAAAGTTTGCCTAAATTTATTTAGTCTTTTTGTTTACTCAACTGCGAAAATATTATTCATCTGCTCGAAACACCTTTAAATTTTACAGATTACACAAATCCAATTCGTGTTACTTTACTATTTAAATTGAAATTTCAAAATTTATCATGGAAAAACGTTAGGTTCATTAATTTTTCGTGTTAGCGTGGGATTTGTAAATAGTAATTATCACTGGTAGATTTTAATGAGAATATAAACCAAATAAAGTTTATATAATTATGTATTTAGGTCAATTAAAATAATGTACAAACGTTATTTGTTTTTAAAGACAAATTCAAAACACGATTGATTTTCTTTGTAGCCAGTGTAAAATCAATTCTTTACATGAACTATGACATAATATCTACTATTGATAATATTTTCATTTTTATTGTTACATATTACCATTTTGATTATTTAGAACTGATTATTTTGCTTTTACGCATCTTGGTTCAAAATTAGAGAGACATTTTGCGAACACAGATTTAAATTAAGTAAATATCTAAAAGAATATGTACCCACAATCATATAGAACTGAAAAACTACAAGTATATTTATAAAAGCAACTTCACATATTCTTAAATAGTCAGAAATATATATTTAGTCAAGGCATTAAACTTCTGCGAATGTCAACGTTATAATATGAAGTATGAAGACAATATGAAATTATTTTTAGATTTTTGGCATCCGAACTCAAAACGAATTCTTAAATGCATGCTAAGTAGTTAGAATGTAATTTAATGTTTACAATAACTACGCATACCATTTTATAATGATAATTCAATTTCGTAAATTAGATTTCAATAGAGGAAGGTAACATACACCGTTTTGGGTATAAGCATTGATTCACATAATAGTATAAGGTTACATAAAAGTATAATCAATATGTTGTAACATTGTGGCGTAATTTTTGACACACATAAATATAAATATTAAAAACTTGGTATGTTATAATAATTCATATTTATTTTTATTCCTTCTATAGCGATTAGAAAATTGTGTTAGTAATTTATTAAATTTATTAAAAAAATAGTTCTGTTTTCTGTTTTGTTTGCTGTTTTGCTAAGCAAAGCCATTAATTCTAATAAAGTTCACAAAACAACTTAAAAATATAACACGTTCTTCATATAAAAATTCTTACACTAAGTAACAGTTCCATTAAAACAATGTCAGAACAGTATTTTATGGCAAAATAGCTGATAACAGGTAGCTTTTATTTATAGAACTCTTATTGCTATGACTAGGTACGTCGACCGAGGAAAATTGAATTGACTAAAGTTATGTTATACAAACCCGTAGCGTAATATTATTTAATGCATTTTGTTTCAAAGCCCTACAAATACTTATTTAGGTAATTTTTTTATATTCGGCGAAATATATCTGGCAGTGCTGTCGACTATTTAAAAAGGAATATATTTGAACTTAAGCATTGTTTTCAAGATCCTGTGGTAAACATTTTACAGTCCGTACCATATTTGTTGAGATAGAATTCCAATTAAATTGCAGTTACGAAGAAACAGGCTTTCCTAGCTATAAAACACAGTATGCACTGCAAGCTGCTACGGTGAACGCCACTCCGCCAATGACTTTCTACCTCGAGTGTCGAATGCGGTTAATTCCAAGAAAGTGACCCAAGAGTCTCCTTGGAATTGTATCTCAACAAATATCGTACGACTGTATATTGAATTAAAATTAGTCAGGCAATACCTCCTAATACTTATGGTTTTCATTGAATTGTTAGTAAAATGTTTCATTCATTTATTTTCTATACAGGATGAGTCATAATTTACTATTTTATTATCTATACAGGATCAGTTATAATTCGGTACAAATAGTCTATCTAAAGTGTAAAAGTTCAATTAAATAGTTAATACTATTAACCATAAACTTAATAAAGACAAAGAATAAAAACTGTATCTAGGAGTCATGAAATAATTTCTTTAAAACCTTGTGCGCAAAGAAGTAATTTCTACTGAGGTGTATTCGATGAATTATCAAAAAGAAAGGTAGAAATAAATTATGTTAAATTAAAATTGTATTATTACAAAAAATAAGATATACACACTTTTATTTTTACATGAATAAAAAGAAATAATATTTGCTATAGAAATTATATCATCAAGTTGTGGGTTTTTCGAAATTGTTTAAGTAAAGTTGCTGATAACACAGGCACAAAAAAATGTTTTTGTATGATACCCTCTGTATTTTGAGCCGCTGAAGACGATGAAGACATCAGAAATGTTCCACTACATCAGGATTTTTCCCTAACCCCAAAAAATTGATCAAAATCAGTGTAAATTTTTATTTTTTGTTAAAATTTTTTATTAAATTTTGAAATAAAAGTACAGACGTGTTATTAGGGTCCAAATAAAAACTTTTAATCCCTGTACTTTTTTATTCTCGTACTTTTTTCTCTAAAATGCATTTCTGAGGAGTTATAGACATTTTAATAAAGCTCAAAATTGGTTAAAAATGACTGTAACTCTACAAGGAGGTATTTTAAAGAAGTGCAGGAATAAAAAGTTTTATTTTGATTCTAATAACACGTCTGTGTACATTAATTTCAAAATCTTAACTATTTTAACAAAAAATCGAGATTTCCTCTGATTTTGAGCTATTTCTTGAGGACAGGGAAAAATCCCGAGGTGATGGAACATTTCTGATGGCTTCATCGTTTTCAGCGGTTCAAACTACAGTGGGTTTCATACTCTGTTAAAAAATATATGAAAAAAAAAATTTAATGTACCATAGTTAGCTCAGTATACGACGGTTTTTAGGTCCGAATTCTTGACACTTGACGTCAAATTTTAACAGTAAGTAGAAAATTGCTCAAGAAACAAAAATTACATAGTGCCGATGTGTGTTTTACTCTGGGGGTTAATGCCACCCCTTCTCGGGGGTGGCAACGAAGGTCCCCATTTTAATCAATAGAGGGATGAATTCTATGCAAATAATGTCCTACAACGTTTTTTTCCAAAAATTAATATTTTCCGAGTTATTTTCGATTGAAAATGTTGATTTTTCATCTAAAAAGTGCATGTTTTTCAACCATTTTTGATAAATAACTCGAAAACCTTGCGTTTCATCGAAAAACTCATATGAAGTAAAAATAAAACTTTTGAAATAACGAATCGATTCATTTTTTGTTGATTACCGTAGATGTAATAATAACCGAGTTATCACTCTCTAAAGGTGATTATTTATTTTTCGGAAAGTAAAATCGACCCTTTTACCGTAAAATAATGGCGAAAGGACTAATTTTTCGAAGAAAATGAATATAACCTTTTTTAAAGTGCTTGGAAAGATCTTTAAAATACTTTTTGAAAAAACTCCCGGAGTTATGATGAAAATAAAATGGTCATCTCATTTTTTCGAAGAAAAAATTAACAATAAAATCTATGGCTGAACCATAAAAATAGAAACTATGTACAGTTGACTTTATTTAGGTACTGATAATAGGCTCTGCAAGTTTGACCGGTTTAGAATGCCTAAATTTAAAAAAAAGTTTGAAATAATGAAAAAAACATTTTACTTTTTTTCGAAATAACTCAAAAACTAAACAAGTTACGTGAAAAATGCAAGAGTTCAAAATTAAAGGTCTTTATTTATAATATTTTCGCTTTCTTTCAATTTTTCTGTAGAGCAAAAATTAACCGAGATATTACGTTTTTTAGTTTGCATTTGCGTGTAACCACCTTTGAGCCTTTAAAACCTAAACATCTCGAAAACGAAGAGTTCAAGACCCTTCAACTATAAAGGTTGATTTGTAGCTCTTGCAATTCCCTGCAAATTGCTTTTTGGAGCGATGAAATTAGCGATAGCGATTAAAAAGTTATCGTGAAAAACGAATTGTATTATTCAATGAAAATTGTCGGATCGTGTAACAGTTGCCAAAATTGTCCTCCAATCACGGACCGAACAGAGGAAGTCGTCAGTGATGATAGTTCTTTAGGTGATGTGTAAATTTTTGATAATAAAGTATAATTGTATAATACACAAATAATTTTTATTTTGCCCTTCACTAATTACATAATTTAAGTTTCGAGTTTTAATAATCTCGTTGAATTTAGTAATGTATCGTTGAGTGTTTTGAAGCAGGTAAAAATTCTTCAATTCCTCATTAAGGGTCGTTTTTAAGGGTTGAAACGATGCAATGAATCATCAGTAATATTATAAACAGTGATGAGTCTTTCATTCATTANGGAGAAAAAATTAACAATAAAATCTATGGCTGAACCATAAAAATAGAAACTAAGCGTAATCCATGTACAGTTGACTTTATTTAGGTACTGATAATAGGCTCTGCAAGTTTGACCGGTTTAGAATGCCTAAATTTAAAAAAAAGTTTGAAATAATGAAAAAAACATTTTACTTTTTTTCGAAATAACTCAAAAACTAAACAAGTTACGTGAAAAATGCAAGAGTTCAAAATTAAAGGTCTTTATTTATAATATTTTCGCTTTCTTTCAATTTTTCTGTAGAGCAAAAATTAACCGAGATATTACGTTTTTTAGTTTGCATTTGCGTGTAACCACCTTTGAGCCTTTAAAACCTAAACATCTCGAAAACGAAGAGTTCAAGACCCTTCAACTATAAAGGTTGATTTGTAGCTCTTGCAATTCCCTGCAAATTGCTTTTTGGAGCGATGAAATTAGCGATAGCGATTAAAAAGTTATCGTGAAAAACGAATTGTATTATTCAATGAAAATTGTCGGATCGTGTAACAGTTGCCAAAATTGTCCTCCAATCACGGACCGAACAGAGGAAGTCGTCAGTGATGATAGTTCTTTAGGTGATGTGTAAATTTTTGATAATAAAGTATAATTGTATAATACACAAATAATTTTTATTTTGCCCTTCACTAATTACATAATTTAAGTTTCGAGTTTTAATAATCTCGTTGAATTTAGTAATGTATCGTTGAGTGTTTTGAAGCAGGTAAAAATTCTTCAATTCCTCATTAAGGGTCGTTTTTAAGGGTTGAAACGATGCAATGAATCATCAGTAATATTATAAACAGTGATGAGTCTTTCATTCATTATATGCTATGAAGATGTGAAAAAAAATGTTTGTTTTATTTTCTGCAATAAGGGTGGTTTTTAAGGGTTGAAACGTTGCAATAAATCATGTATTATTTCATAAATAGTAAAAAATATTCAATTATTCATTATTGCTCCGTCAAAGCATTTCAGAGCCGCGAAAACAAATTTTTATTTTTTTTTTCACAAAGGGTAGATTTTAAGGGCTGAAATGTTGCTACAAATAAAATTATTATTCAAAACATAAAAGAATGCTTATTCTATTGACATAACACTTAAATCTATGGTTTTTACGTTTTTTGCAAGAAGGGGTAGTTTTCACCTCATAAAAACAATAAGCACACATTATGGATATGTAACTTTTGTAAAGGAGGGTGAAATGAGTTTACTCACCAATTTTCATGAAAATCGGTGCGTGTGTCAAGAATTCGGAGGTAATACCCTATTTTTACCGTTGTATACTACTGGACTAAATATAGGTAGTAAATAAAATTAATTTCATTTATTCAGTTAAATATTTTCAACTTGAAAAAGTCTTTACAACATCTAGAATAATTAAAATTTGTTTTAATATGTTTTATATTTATTAGAATTTAAATTCAACTTGATACAAATCTAAGAACGAATTACCAAAATTGAAGTAATTTTTTTGAGACACTGTGTATAAAATTTTCATTCATTTTATGCAAATTAAATGGCTACATACTTCAATATTATTTTTTGCCACAAATTACAGGCTTTATACTAATTAGTTATTCAGTTTACAGTGAATCATTTACTTATCATTTTAAATTTCCGGTTCAAAGTTTGAACCGTAGCCTTATTCATTGTTTTTTATTTTACGCTTTGGATTTATTGAAATGTAAACATTATTGATATTTGACGAATTGTTTCTGATATTTTGCGTAGAGATTTATTACAACCTCAACTTTCTCTTCTGTCCTTTGTTTTAAAAATAAATGACATATTTCATTTTTTATTTAAGAAAATCAAAAAAATTATACATAAATATTTCAAGGCGTATTAAATTGTCTCAATGTAGACAGACACTTTTTATATAACGGCTACTGATTATATTTCGTTAAATATGGTGCTAAATTACTTGGCATTTATGTAGGTAGTAAGTACAACCTACGCTTTGGCGTCAGTTTAGAATTTGATACAAGCGATAATTAGATTTATATATACAGGGTGTTCCGTAATGATTGTGCCATAGAGTACCTAACTATAGATTCTAGGCATGAAAATAATGATACTTAGTCAAATATCTCTTATCAAAATATTGCTCGTTTACCTAAAAGATACAGGGTGGAAAATCCGAATCTGAACCCAGTTATCAGGTTACTAATAGAGGGCGCTAGTAATGTTTATGAATAAAAATTGCGTAATTTTATTATGTAACCCTCTATCGCAATTATGAAAATCTGGTTAACTGATTATTTTTAAAAGAAAAAGGCATACTTGTTTGATATCGACAAACCTCCCCAGTTGCAAGATAATCGCACTTGTATCATTTAATTCAATCAAGCGAACTGTAAAATGTATGAAACACCCTGTATCTCTTTAACGAACAATATTTTGTTAAGGCATATTTGGTTAAATCTCATTATTTTTATGCCCACAATCTATAGTTACTCTATGGCCTAATCACTCTGTATATACTTTTTTATCTTCAATTTTTCGCGTCTTAAAAATTCTTTCTTTTATAAGAATGTATATCCATCGTTAAATATATAGTAAACGAATTTATGTAACTATTAGGTACTCTTTCAATTTCTGTATTTTTAATTCTGAAGACCTGGAAATAATGAACTGTAATATGTATATAAATAGTTAGAGATATATTGAATTTTTGAAAATCTGTCTACATCCTCATATTTAACCTATATTTTTGTAGGTGAATGACTTCACTATCGTTCGTTTTGATAAATTACATTAGCTATGAGATAATAATTAATAATGATGTGTTTCTGTGTAATAGGGCAATTCTTTTACGATAAATGTATTAAGTAAATATGACGTAACCGAAATATAAGCATATAGTTTTTATATATCTATTAGTTTCTAATGAAATAATATATTAAAGTAGGTATATATTTTTTATTTTCCTCAAAAAAGTTGGAGACACTGATCTATAAAATGTAAACGAACTTTAATGATTTTTATCACATGCCAAGTCTATTTGTAAACTCCTATTAATAATGTAAAGTACAATATGTACAAACAAAGACTAACAACGTTCAAATAAATTCTGTAATGCATAGCAACTGGTTATTATTCTTATATTTCCTGATCTTGATTCACTTAATTTTCATATGGCCAACACCTTTGAGAACTTATAGAATGTATTAATACCAGCTTGGTGACCTCGTTTCTCATGTATTTTTTAAACTTGACAGTGTTCTCGGTTGAATAAACATTAGAGTATAGGAGTTGTAGTTGTTTTTCTAGTACGTCAAATTCATCTGGATGCAGTCTTACGAAATGTTAATAATGTTAAATTATTTCCTGATCCTATCTTCGCATCAAGACTTCCGTTATGGTATTGACCTAGACTTGTGAACACATTAAAAAATGATATTAGTTCTTAGCTGTAGAAAATTAAACAGAGAACAAATCAGATCGAGAATCCTTTTATAATTGATTATAATAGTAGTTTTTCATAGGTATTTGTCAAAAACATAGTCTGAAAAGAAAGACATCAAAGACCCGTTTCATCGAACTGACTTAATAATACATATCTTCCCCTACATTTTTGAACATCCAATTGCTGCGTATGTTACAGATCGTTGAAGTAATTTTCAAGTTAGCTGTTACATGATTAAAATTAAAGTTATTATGGTACGAGTCATATAATTAAATATGTATTATATCCGTTTTTGTGTTCCATCATATAATTATTAAAATTGCTATTAATTAATACAATAACGAGCATTAAAACTGACCTTGATTGAATTTTTCTCTAACTCTAAAACATATCCCGAAATAAAATTTTAAGGTGCATTATAAATTACATTGGCTACACCTTCATAGAACAAATAATACATACAGGTGTGCACAGTTGCTATTTGTATTTGTATTTTATTTTTTTCCAGAGACTATGGCTTGGTTAGAGAAGCTGGCGAAGCAAGTCCAAGAGATGTTCAAATCGCAAAATAAACTGAAGTTCAATGATGATCTCGAAACGCCTCAGCAATATAAGGAGCGATGGCGTTCCATTTATATCGTTTATTTCACCATGTTCCTTATATCCTTAGGATTTAGTATTATAGTAACGGGAGTATGGCCTTACTTGGACAAGGTAACTATCACAGCATGGATGATAATTTTAAACTCATTTATTATCTCCTCTGAATAATTCTCAGTGTAAGATTATTTTATTTTATCGTTGTTGCAAGAACTTTGCAACTTCGTTTACTTGAAAACTATATCATTAGACCATTAAACTAAGTAAGTATTAATGTTACGATGTAAACAACTATTTTATGTTTCCGTTTTACGTTTGACATTCCGACCATTAACAATCAACAAGGAAAACAATTAAATAAGTAAAAATATAGAGATTCTTCGACATTCCACTGTAAATGTAATAAGGTCTAATAAGGTCAATATTAAGTAATGGTAAGGAAATTCATATAAATATTTTTTATCGGACTACTGGGTTGGCTTTAAATTGTAGATAGTAAATGTATGAAGCAATGATCCTTTTCCTATGTGGTTTCTTCATGTAGCTTTTAGTTTTTTTTTTTGAACAATGGGTAACTCATCACTACTAGGCCTTCAAACTTTATTGTACTACAATACATGCGCTCGGTATCCACTATTTTTTGACAGAAGCTGCTGTTCTTCATTAGGCCAATATCAGTAAAGATGTTGTAGGTATTGGTTTGTAATGTCCAGTTAACAGTCCTGGTGTTACCTATCCTTATCGATTTCCGACTTGGATTCAGTAGTTGTCAATCCCTTCAATAGTCCTTATAAGAACTTTTTAATTTGTCTTTGTCCAGAGGTATTCTTTCCTAGTATTATTGTAACCCGTCTTTTATATTGCCCCTTCTCGCGATAGTAGTCGTTATTTGGACATGGGTACACTGTTGGAATGGTACTTCAGCTGTTCCGGGCTCTACAGGTGATTTTTCATATTGGGTTGGAAACATGAGTGATTTTCGTATTTCAGACGATACTATCTACGGTATTCAGTGGTTGGTCGAAATTCCTAGAACTGGATGTGTTTTTATGAAATGCCCTTACCTGTATCCGTGTAATTGTGGTGAACAATGATCTACCTGTTTAACTGATATATAACTAGTATATTATTCTACATTAGAAAGTGCTGCTCATAAAGAGACTGTTAAAATAATGATTAATTTCCAGTTAGATCCGACGGCTGGGAAAGAGTTCATGGGATTTGTGGTTGCCGCCAATCCCTTTGCACAGATGATCTTTTCACCGTTGGTCGGTCTGTGGAGTAACAAACTTGGCTCTATTCGAATACCCTTAATAGTGTCTCTAGTTGTCTTCACAATCGCCAGCAGCATATATTCTTCCTTGGAACTATTCGACAGCTACCGGAAACATTGGATGCTGTGGTCCAGATTTCTAGTTGGAGTTAGTTCAGGTAATTTGAGACAACGCCAACGGTAAAAAGTAAATGTTCTGAAAAAGATTAAAACACTGAAAATAATAACTACATTTTGTTTTCTTACTACTTTATAAAATATCTATTATTAAGAAACTAACTGGGATCAACAAACAACTACTTTGAATTCTTGTTAAGACTTTTTCAAACAATATAATCCTTTCTATCTCTTTTGTTCAAATTGTTTTTTAACATATTTTGACTGATTCTACAGTTCAAGGAGAAATCTGACGTGAATATGTAGTATATGTGAATTATTTATTAGAAACTATTATAGTTGGTCTATTATAGTGAATGGTAACAAAATAATGAGACAAAATTGTGATAACATATCTTCGTTCATATGTACTGCACCACATCTAAATATAACTTCAATATATGTACATACAACAGGTATTTGTACATTATTGCACGATTACAATATAAAAGTAGATGAAGTAGTGTATGTTTTTATTTGTAATTCTCTAAGGAAATACTCCAATAAAAACTGTATAATATACAGTCTTTTCAAAATCTACAACTTGTTTAAGTCTGTCTTAAATTAAAATACTTAGTTCTCTTGATATAAATGCCTGTGCTACAAATGAAAATCTTCTTTGAGTCCGTTGGTGGTCAAAAATTTGAAATTTGAAGATAAAGGTTACATTCTTTGGCTCAAAAGAAGACGATCTGCCCTAACTTTCAATAAGAAAAAATGTATTTTTTGCGTAAAAACTATGAATGCTACAAGATTTTATCAAGACCACGAAAAATGAATTGATTCCAGCGACCAAATAAAAAGTTCTGGTAATTTTTGTACCGACACTTAAGAATTTACCACCTGCCCAAAGCGAGTGGACGTGGTTGCTTCACCAAAACATGAGTCTTTCTTAGGTGCACAGCAAGTTTTATTAAAATCCATCGTAACATTCTCCAGATATTACAGAAAACACAATTTTTTTCAAGAACATTGACAGCCAGTAGCAGAGAAGCCAGACATTTTTTCTTAATGGAAGTTAGGTTAGAACGTCTTCTTTTGAACCAAAGAAATCATAAACTAAGAAGTGCATAAACTGACATAAATCAAATTTTCATATTCGAATCTGTAAGTAAATGCTACTGGTATTTACAGAAAGTTTTACTACCTAGTACTAATAAAATATTATACACATAAAGTCGAGTTAGTAGTACTAATTGTACAACTACTTGTATTTAAAATTTATGAATACTTATTTTCTCTTTTTCAGCAAATATTGCCGCATGTCGATCTTACCTTTCAGCCGCCACTCGCTACTCGGAGAGAACCAAGGCTGTTTCCATGATATCCCTCGCTCAGGTGCTAGGGTTCATTGTAGGCCCCGCCATACAAGCCGCAGTGGTGCCCTTAGGAGGGGAGGGTGTTTGGCTAATAAAAAACAGGCTCAAACTGAACATGTACACCGCTTCAGGCTGGATCAATGTCTTCCTCTCTCTGTTCAACATCTACTTGTTCTTTCCATCCGTTTTCAAGGAACACAAGATAGCTGCCAAGGAAGCTATGGTGAAAATGGGGAAAGATAACGAAAAGGACACCTGGAAGGATGAGAAACCAAATTACTTTTCCGCTTGGTCTCTCATAGTGGCTTTCTTTGTGATAGTCTTCAATTTCATGCTGTTGGAGACTCTGGGCACTCCTGTGACCATGGACCAGTTCGCTTGGTCCAAAGGGGAGTCCCTGTGGTATATGGGGATTCTAATGTCTGTGGGAGCAGTGTTGGCCATAGCGACCTTCGCGTCCATAGGTCCCTTGACAAAGAGGTTTTTGGAAGTAAAAGTTATGATCTGGGGTGGGTTCCTCTTTATGGTCCTGGGCAGGTTGTTCTTTATCCCTTTCTCCAACGATCCCCCCAGAATGTACGACGCCAGCTTCAAACTGAACCTCACCGTTTACTGTGACAAAATATTCAGAAACGTTACCTTGTTAGAAGTTGATTATAGCATTGTGAATAAAAGTTTACTGTCGTATGGGAAATGGTTGGATCCGAATGAAAGCAACGAGATTATTATAAAGAAGATGACTTTGAATTGTGGGGAGGACCTCCTAGGATGTCCTTCTAATCAAGAATGGTGCAATTATACTCCGCAAATGACTCTGACACAATTTATTATAGGATACCTGCTCACCGCTTTTGGGTACCCAGTAGGAGTGACCTTGATTCAGACGATATTCTCGAAAATTTTGGGATCGAGACCACAGGTCAGTTAAAGTCATATTTTGTACAGGGTGCTTCAGAACTGATTGTTGGGTGCCATAAAATTCTATCTTGGTAAGTTTAACACCCTAGGACTTGTGACGTTATTGAAATTGCTTTCAATAATTTTGTAAATATTAGAAGTCTTTTTTCAATAATTTTTTCTAATATGAATTTTTCGGTACTTCTTCTCGTTGAAATGATATAAAATAAAATATTAGTTCGACCAAGTCTGTTACTTATTTTGTGAGCATTGCTGTGGAAAGCAACGTAGTTGCGAAATTTGTATTCATCGAGTTTCTTTCATTATGAGTATCTATTTATTTTATAAATGTAGTAAATTCATCTTACAGTTTCTTATTCGGTACTTCTGTTTTACAAAAACTTGAAAATTAACCACTTCATAACGTTATACACTTACACACAAAGGTAACAAACCCGTTTTCCATCCCGTCATATCGTGTGAATACAATTTGCAGCTGCCGCCTATCAAAGGCAGCATGACATTTCGACAGCACAGAGCCCAACTTCCATTCACTTCGGAAGCGTTCGGAACATGATGGGATTCTGCTTAAATTTAAACTGTGACAATGACAGTAGTACAGTTCAGCTAAACGAGTTCAATGTCAGAGGTCACTGACATTGAGATTCACAAATTGAATACATAGGCTGCTTAAAAAATAGTAACATAATTCCTTGTAAGAACTTGAAACTGTTTTGAAAAAATATTTTATATAAATACAACAAAAATAATTATTTTAGAACAAATTAGTTTTACTTATTTTATTTATTTATTTAAAATAACACGTCGGTAAACGAGAACGTCTTTTAAACGAGAAGATATTTAGAAAAACGATTTTGATAAAAGTTGCTGGGAAAAGGGGCCTTCACATGCAAAATAATATTTATGAAATTATCAAAAATAACTTCGATGACGTCAGTGCAATTAGGACGTTAAACTTTCCAAGATGGAAATTTAAGTAGTGGTGAGATATAACCTATATAAAGTATATGTTATATCCATTAAACGTCCATTTTATGCTTACTTGCACAAAGCATTATTCTGACATACTATTTTACAAAAATCATTATTTAAATTGAATGAATTTTAAGTTAATAACACCCGCACCGATTTCATATTTTCTATTTGCCTTTCCCTGTAGTGGCAGCGAGGATCATTCTATGTTACCCTGTAGAGCAGAGAGCTCCATATAACGATTAATTAGCTACACAGCTGATACTTTTAGCTACACAGCTGATACTTACCACGCGTGCACGAGGCAAACTTGTTCTATGGAAAAAATGTAAACAACTATTATTGTGAAACGTTTAGTAAATTTAAGATAATTGTTTTCCAATTTTTAAATCAATAAAATAAAATGTAGATATCGATTATATAGTACGAAGATAGTGTTGGGTTTAAATTTTAGCTCAATTTTAGTAATTATGAATCGCTTAAAACATGAATTTAACTTTTAATCAAATTATGGATTTGCAAAATATGTAATTAAAGTACTCAAAGATTCACGTCATCCAAATAATCATACGTATTAAAAATAATTTAGGTACTTTCCAAAAAGTAATTTTTAAACGCACAAGTACAAAACAAACTACAATATATGCTCAAAATGTCCACCATAATTTTCGATGCACGCACGACAGCTTCGAATCCAATTTTCGCGCATTCGCTGGAAAACATCTCAAGAAAAGGAAATAGTGGTGGACAAAAAACACTAAGACGCGGTCCAATTCCAGATACCAACTGAATTGCGTATTGCTGGACAGTTTAGTCCCTCGTGTTATCCGCCGCGCCGTTGTCACATTGCTCGATATGAATTTTATCGAATTTTAAATTTATTACAACACTAATTATTTTTTTAGAATTAAGCATAAAGAAGTTCAGAAAAGTGATAAACATTGTATTTTATGGTATTCTATGCACGCAGTTATGTCAATACTCCTTAATTAATCAAACTTTTGTACATCAAGTTGAAGATATTGATAATTTTTTCCTCGGAAATGGTTGAGTTTAGGACCCATGTCATAAAAAGTTTTTTTCGTTTATTTTAGATTTAAATTAGAAAAGTACTTTCTTAAAAAAAATATTTCTTAATGGTAATCTAACTTTTTTTTAGGCTCGACCGAAGTATACACAACAGACTGTTAACTACTGCTAGTTTTTTTTTGGTTCACCCTAAGTTAAAAGCAGTTGGATTCTTTTTCATAACAGAGATTCTTTGTTATATTTCTAATTTTTAGCTTCGGACAATAAAGTGAATGAGACATACTTCCGATGCATTTTCACGAGATTTAATATAAAAATGTCTGATAAAATCGGTCAATGAATGAAAAAGTTACGAGGTTAATAACTTAAATATTTGTCATATTTTCTAGTCAATTTGATATAAATTTGGGTTAGTTGCACAAATCTAGTTTAAAGTTCTCATAATAGCTTGTTTCTCAAAGATAAAGATACATCTCAATAACAAGATCAAAGTTGAATTATTTGTAAAATAGTGTATTATTTCTAACAGATATTTGTAACGCGATAATACAATACGGTGATTAAAAGTTAATAAAAATTTATTCTATAGGACTGCATTAAATAATAAAAGTGTGTAATTAAAATCGTCCCCTTAAAGTACCGTAGCTAAATTTCTGGAGAACTAAGATCAATATTTGCAATTATTTTATTTCGGAAAATATTTTAGAACAATTCTAAAGCGAGTCATTTTTGCCACACCAATAATAATCATAAAAGGTCGCAGTTGTAATAAAATTTTTCATTCTCATTTTATTTTAAAGGGAGTTTGGATGGGTTTCATGACAGGTTCTGGATGCCTATCCAGAGTGATGGGTCCAGTCTTCGTAACCTACATTTACGAAGAATACGGCACTATATGGACGTTTGGCTTGACCACGGTCATGATGGCCGTGTGTTTGGTATGGCTGTTGTGCTTCCAAAAGTATTTGATCCCCACGGAAATAAAGTCGAGAGACGACGACGAGAAAGGACAAGAGCTGATGGAAGGTACTAATTTCGTCTCTGTCAATCTAGACGAGGATGTCGATGGGGATGGTAGGGTGGAAAATGGTAAAGCAGTTACGTGATTGCGTCTAAATGTGATATGTTATCGTGCCAAGAAATGATGGACGTCGTTTTTTTAACAGTGTTTTGTATGTCTGTATTGCCTACCAGCTCGCCAGTTCCTGTAACGTCAGGAGATGCAGTCCAGTTTTAAATATTTCATAAGCCTATAGTTGGTATAATATTTTAAGATCACATAAAAAAGCGTAAGATGATGTAAATACTTATCAAAAAGTTCTACGTTATGTTGCTGTTTTTAAACAAAGTGCTAGTTAATATTTAATATATTTGATTGAGTAAAAATTTTTTATAATGCCGAACAAAAAATGAAAAAAAATACATAGGTGGCAGGAAATAGTTTAAATACTCGTTTTTAATACTAGTGATAATAGAATAAAATTAAATTTATATTTTTTTATATACTTGCATGTAAAGCAACTTTGGAATATATTCTATTACAGAAGAAAAAAAATGAATAAGTATTGTATTTACATTAAATAAGTGAAGATATATTACAGTAATGATTAAAATATTACAATTTTTACATTGAAAGAAATAATTTAGTTGCAAAATATTCACATTTGACGTTTTATCTTTAGTTTATCTGTGATAAAATTTTACTGATGTACTTAAAAATACACCTAGGTGATTAAGATATAGGAAGTAGCTAAATAATCCTAATTGTATTAAAGTGTGTCAAAGCTTTATGAATGATTTTTATATAAAATTTTTGGATGCTATACTGGTTAGAAGTGACTGTGTATTTTCAAATCTATTTTAATAGATTTAATAATTATTAAAATACACTAAAAGCCAAACTACATATAGAACAGGAAAATTAATAAAGACAATGTGTATTTATATATTTTTGTTAATACTTAACACTATAATTATAGTGAATACGGTATTTTTTCAAATTTCAATTTCGGAATCCTTTTTAATTTATTATTAATTTTGTAAATATAGTTGCTATCCAATATTTCGTATTTTACATATTTAATATAAGTATCATGGTATTTTACAAGTTTTCCAATACATTTTAAATATTGCTGTTTTAAGGAGGTTTCAGTGTTTTATATAAAGCTTTCATATTTGACTGAAATTTTTATAATTATTTGTCTTTCTATTTCAAAAACATGTTCCCAAGAAATGTGTAGCCATAACCGTAGCATAGTTTAAGATAACAAGTTAATTTTAAAAAAATATATTTACTTTTCGTCTACAGAATATCTGTAGTTCGAAGCAAACTCGCATACTGATGTATATCTTTTTATACGATTTAGATATAAGCTAAGTACTCATGTGATATTTTGCGATATGAATAGTTTTCAAACATTGTTGATTTGACTGAAACTGAGAAGAGTTTATATTTCTGTAACATAGTACAACTATTTTTACTGATTTTCATGAAATCGTCTGTACTAGCTAGTTTATATAATAAAGCGTATTATATAATTCTTGTATTTAATTTGTACAGTACATCCACAAAAAGTTTCTCTGGGTGTTGACATGCATAGTAGGTAAACGGAAAATGTCTTAAAAAAAAATGGACCACTACAGGATGTCCCGCAATGAAGTGCAAACATTAAGAGTACCTCTTAAGGTAATACTGAGGAAAAAAAGCTTACAAACCTCGATCTGGATATACGTATCGTTTTCGAGATATGTAAAAACAAGATTTTTTTAAATTCTTTTAAAAACGCGCTTCTAAAAATTTTATAGCGTAATAACTACATTTCGTATTTACATCTCCAAAAGTTTTGCCCCGTCCACATAATTGGAAATAATTAACATAAATTTTAAAAATGTGATGGATCTTATTTTTTGTTTTGATATTAAAATATGTAATACAAAAACTTTGTAATTTTCCCATTTACGAATGGACAATAAAGCATGTTACACAAAAGCTGCAAAATGTTGAAATTATAATTTTTTTTTTATTTTGAGAAAAAAATTATGTTACATTGAAAAACATATCTTAGTAGTTTGTATGATCACCTCTTCTTTCAATCAATTGGCTAACACGTCTTGGCATCCCTTGAATCAAGTTGTCAATAAAATAATCAGGCATATCCCACTCTTATAGAACAGCTGCAGTCAATTCCTGGAGGTTGCAGGAGAGTTTCGCGATTGGATATTGCTCTGCCGAGATTATCCCACACATGTTCAATAGGATTCATATCCGGTGAGTTTGTTGGCCAGTCCATAAAGAGACTTGTGTATGAAAAATTAATAGTAAAATTCTGGCAATAGTGGTTTTAAATAGAAACTAGGTACAATTTTTCAAAAGAATTTTAATTAATAGAAAATATTTATAAAAAATGAATGTAAACGAGGTTGTATAAACATTAACTAGGAAATATGAAGATCATAGTAAACTATAGTTATGTTACTAAGTGTTGAAAATGGGCAATAATAATTTTTAAATAAAAAAGTTTAGGTGCTTTAAGAAAAATAGTATGGTTATGTTTATAATGTGAAGAATGTGTAAATATTTCGAAAACTAATACTAACTCAAAGTTTTCTGTTATTGTTTTTTATTTATTTGTGTTAATAACAATGTTAGACCATGTTTTTTTATTTGTTATTTTTGTATACATGCATCAACCTCGTATAGATTTAGTATTTTGAAAGACTGTAGGTCATGTAGTTAAATGTTAGTAATTTTTATTATGTATGTACTTCAAAATCTAAGTAATCTTTTCCAGTAAAATTTGACTCGACTATTCTCGAAGAGTCTGCAACATTGTTGCTATTAATTCTTCTTTGATAATATTATTACTATTAGCAAATCTCTCTTTGTCTTTCCCCCCTCTAAATCTGCAATGTCTAGTTTATTTGTAAAATATTCCACTATTCATCCGGCAACGTTTGAAGATGTCTCTTTAATGCTATTAAATCTGCCCAGCATTAACCAAAATAGTCGCAGAGGATGCACGGAAACAATGTCTGTGTATTTATCTGAATTTGGCAAATTTAAAAATGTTGCTACAACTTAAGGCATTTTACCAAACTGATGTATTCCTACTACTTGCCTATAGCCTTTCCCATTTGAAAATTTAAAGAAAAAGCGGCAACTTTCAAAATTTTCTGACGGCATGCATAATTTTTTATATACAGTGGCATACAAGTTTTATTTATCACAAATGATCACGGTTTTTCGTATTGTTATCCGGCAATTTAGTCAAAAACTTTTATCCTAAATCATCTACATAATTCAATTTTAATTGATACAGTTCATCCCGGCGACATGCACCGGCAACAGCAAATATTAAGGCAACCTAATAAGGAAAAAATAATTTATAGACATTTTAAAATTTTCTTTAAATATATATGGTACGTAAGTAATAATCGTTTCAATTGTTTATTTGACAAAACTTTTGATTTCTTTGTTTTCTAGTTGTCACCTTGACGTTTCAGGAAAACGCGTAATAATATTTTGATATATCAACATTTTCCTGTTTTTCTCAATACAGAATAATTTGACTATAACGTAGACGCTTTCAACACTGCAGAGAATTCGGAAAAATCTGCAATCATAACATTTTCGGATCGGGAGGTCATATTTCTTTTAAAGGCAAAAAGTGTTGAAACGTTTGTAAACTAGGCATAGAAGTATGAAAAGCCTCAAGGTACTGTTACGGGGCCAATTCTATTTGCTGTTTACATTAATGATTTGTTTAAAAAATTGTATCAGGTTTGTCTTCCAACTCTTATACCTATGTTATATGAATATGTGTATGGCTATTTTGAGTTTACTTTATATATTTATTTAATACATTGTTGTTATTCGTTTCATTTCAGTTTCGGAAATGGAAACGCAAACCTCTTATCATCGTAACTTACTGCATGGAATGTATAGTTATATTATAATTTATTTTCAGTATACTATCTATTATTACTCCTCTTCACGAACCCAGCTATTGATCCAACTTTTTACTTGTTCATCAGGTCGTCAAGGAGACATCTACACAATTCGAATATTTCTATTTTATTATTAGAGTAGTTTTACAGCCAAGAGTGAGTGTGAAAATAAGCAAAGGTAACGTACTAATTGTTTTCCATTCCAACGAAGGGAATTTACATTAAATTCCCTTGATAACCGAATCGTTTATTGCGTGTTGCACATTCGATCGCGTGTAGTCTCATTAGAAAAAATATTACCTCATATCAGTCAACAATGCAGGCAGCACTGATAGAATGATGTCACTTCTAATTTTACAAATATTCAGAAAAGGGCTGACGAAAGCTATTCCACAAAAATTAAAATTATGATAGATCTAAATTCCCACCATTCGCTATTTTATTTGAGTTTTAACCGAATGAAGCTTTTTACTGTGGTCGTCTTAGTGGTTAGGTTTTAACTTCTACTAGACACACTGTCTATGATACTGAGAGATATTTTTGTTTTAAAGGCATCCAAAATTGAAATAAATTACAATATAAACATTTTGCATTTTTATAAATGTACTTGTCGACAAAATTATCGAATATTCCTTTTTATCACTATTACATGAAAAGTATATATGATACGTATATGTATGTGTTGATGTTTTCATCACTTATGCTGATACAATCACTTGTTTTTAAATATTTTGACGTTCAATCAATATTATCGGAGACTTTTGTTTAACTCAACATATAAGAATTCCTTACATAATTTAAAAAGTATGGTGAATTAGTTATTTGAAAGCCACTAATGACGAAGGATATAGACAAAATAATATCGCATTACGTATAAGGAGAAGTCAATCACAATATCGAATACTTTGAAAAAGGATTTAAGAGACTGGAAATTTTGTATGAAGACTTGGTCAGGGGCACATAAGGTGTAAAATGGATGATCGATTTTAGATTGAATGGAAATCGCACTTTGATATCTATGCATCTTAAAAATAATCTACTAAATGTAAGACAAATTGATGTTAGTTCAAAAACAGTCAGATGACGAATAAAAGAAGCGCATTTAAAATAAAAATGGCCTATCATAGTTCCGTATCTCCAATATCACAAATCTCGTCAATTAGAATTTGCTAGACGACATGTTCAGTGGAATAACGAGAATTAGAAAACTATCTTCTTCACGGGGGTGACCAGAATTCAATTATTGAAGACAGACTCATGAAACTACGTTTATAGAAGAGTTGAAGTATGTAATAAGTCATGCGTGTTAGTTTTGGAGATGACGGTATAATGCTTTTGCTAACTCGTGTAAGTGATTGGATGAATGAGAGGTGATCTGTATATTAAAAACATTCTACAAGATCATGTCTGGCCAAATGTTGTTGTAGTGGATACGAAATATTTATATTAATATACGATAACGCTCGAGCACATGCAGTTAGCATAGTGATCAATTTCCTCTATGGAATCCAGATCTAACATTAAATTGGCCAACGTATAGTTTAGATTTAAACTCATTAGAACGTATATGGATCAGTTAACACAACGCATACTGTAAAGAAATTCGATTCTAAGTAAAGAAGAAGAACTTGGAGCACAAGAACAAAATGTAATTCTTCAAAAGTTATTAAAATAATTTGATTCCCAGGTATGGTCAATCTCTTGTTTAAAACTCTTCCGATGCCCTTATAATGTGTACACTGATGGGCATCTTAAAGTCCCCACTAGTTGGGTCGTTCTCATTGTATCGCGCCCCACCACAAATAATTACGGAATGTTTCGGACTGGGAGTGGGGTGTGGAGATATACTACACCGTGGCACCAAAAACTCTGATATATTCGATAGGGTAAATAATTAATCTGATACCAGTTGCATTTGATATTTTTTTAAATATTATTTTATTAATGATATGTAATGTATTGTAACATTTTCTTGGTTAGTTAAATAATTATATTGAAGAATTTTTTAAAAATAAAATGTTATAAACCGTTTACTATTTTAACCATTGTTCACTACATCCACATACCTGCATATTTAGTGTTTTCCCGTATTAGAGATATTCATTTATAAATGTTGTCTTAAATCAATACATACAGGGTGGACTAATAGTGATTATATTACTCCTATGTCATATAGATAGAAAATACATATTTTATTAGGGCATCGAGCGGTGCCTTAAGGAGGACATTTTAAAAATATTATGAAGTACACGGAGTGTTTTGGAAGGCTATATCAAACATGATTTATAAATGGGATGACCCGTTTTTTATATTTCATATATACAAAATATTTCAGACAAAATAACTAGTTTTCAATATGGAATAAAATATATAAATTGCAAATAAAAATGTAAAATTAATAAATAATTTTATACACCATAAACGTAAACGATAAAGGAAATTTTCTTAATTTTTTTCTTGTAATAATAATTAATTGTTGATTACTGTATGTAGACCAAATATCTCAACATCTTAATTTAATTATCATATATCTCTATCATAGTATACTAATCAATCAGTATGCAATCTTAAATGATTTATGAATGAATTAC